TTATCAAAGCCTTGAGAAAATCATAAGCTTTTACTTGTGAAGCACCATCTTGCCTTAAAGTTAATGACAACTAATCAGTGGTGCTTGCTGAAGGTTGGGGTGTCTGTGGCAGCAGTTTAAGATAAAAGAACAGTGAGTATTGCTAAGTAGACTAATTCCCTTTTCCATGAAAGACCTTTCTTTTCACACCACAGGGTTTGGTAGTATTTTACTTTTTTCACAGTAGAAATTTCAAAATTGGAGCCAATGTCATCATGCATTAATACAAGTTTGGTAACAAAGGTTATAATATTATAAATCTATTATAAATATTTTTCTTGCATCAATAACATTAACAACACCTTTACTGGTAGTAGATTTTACCTAAAATCAAACAAACAAACAAATAAGCAGCTTATTTCTCCACCAAAGACAGCATCACGAGTTCAGGTTTTACCATGCGATTTCAACAATTGAGTCATATCCCCTTACTTCATTTCTAACTATGGCTTTTATGCCATTTCTACCATATTTGCCATTAATTTATCCATTGAAATCTTAAATAGTCAAAATCATTTGGGATCAACTTTTTCTAAACTTTTGTTAATTTTCATGTTTGACTTTGTCCCAGTAATCAATAATATTCTTATTAGCATTTAAAAAAGTGAATCCTTCAAGTTTTCAATTTCTTTTGTCCACATCTGTCAGAGGAATCAGTATGTGTGGAAGCTAGTCTTATCAAAAGTGTTTATTAAATAATATGACTTGAAAATTAAAATTATTCCTTGGTCCATGGGCTGAAGAATGATGGTTATTATCAGCAGACATAAAAAAGCATTGAGCATATTTACCATTTTCATCATCTTGGGTGGCCAGGTATATTGTGAATGTATAGTAATATTTATATAAGGATCATTTGCTTATCAGTTGGTTTAAAGTCAGTGAATCACGCTATAACATAGATGTGTAGTTATCAAACTATTATTATTTCATTTAGGGCATACTTAGATGCCTAGGGGTATTCAGAATGGTAAATTGGCATTGATTTCCACTTAAAGAAACACTAGTCCTTGACAAGAGACTTAGCTTTTCTTTTTGAAGCCAAGCATCAGTCTTTATTCTCTGGCCATTAATGTTGTGGGTAATTTCTTAATGTAATAGTAAGTTACTCATTTGCCTGAAAAACCTATTATCTAGTGGAGCCATCTTCCTCCATTAATTTGAATAGATCTTCTGAATAATTTACTGCAACTTCTACATGACCAGTTGCTGGTGTAATCATGAGCTTTTATGTGTTGAAATGGCGTTCTTTCTTAAACCCTATAAAATAATCTTAGCTAGATCATTTTTTTTCTTCTGTAGTGTCTCTAGACCAGGCCTCATAGAAGTAAAAAGAGCAGAATCTCTTCTAAGGTTAAGATTAAGGGAATGTTGTGGCTAGTTTGCCTATCCATACCACTACAGCTTTCTCTACTTGAGCTTGAAGGTTGCTTTTATTTCTAATGTTCACCTTCATAGGAATTTTAATTTTCCTTAAGAGTTTCACCTTGTAGTAGTGATTTAATGAGAAAGCTATGTGACTCTCTTAGTGGAACACTTATGAGTCATTGTAACATATTTATACAGAGAGGCTCAGCCACAGCATGTACAATCACCATGTTCACTGTGCAATTATAGCAATAATGTAAAGCTTCCTGATCACAGAGCACCACAGTGGGTGTCATGATTAGAAAAGCTTCAAATAGTGAGGTAATTATTTTAAAATGTTTTATGGATAAAAACCAAATTTACAGTGTAAGAAAAAAAAGAGCAGGGCTGGAATACTTGAGACGGGATTACCACAAACTTTCAGGTTGTAAATGTCCAGTATCTGCAAAGCTGAATAAATTAAAGGAAATAAGAAAAAAATGCCCATACTTCATGATACACATAATTAAAAGTGTAGATCAAGGTAAAGATAGTAAAGAGTCAGTGTTTCTGGGGGCAGGCACTGGTGATTGACACGTTGCAGAGAGGAGGCAAGGAGTAGGTGAAGAAAGATGAGACTGTGAGAATCTTAAACCAGGTTGACTGACAGTCAGAATGCTTCTTTATTTATATAGAATTCAGTAAGCACGTATAGATTCATGTCGTTACAAAACACAGATCTAACCTTTTTCTTGAACATCTGGGATTAGAGATTTTGTCATCACTGATGAATTGTGACAGAACAGAGTTACCTTATACAATCATTTCCCCTTATTTAGTCACCATTAATAAACAGCATTATATTCTATAATCATTTTTACTCACTAACCTCATAACCCAATTTTTCAGAGTCTAGAGGTATATGATAGCTTGTTCTCAGGCTGGCAGTTCTTGTGGCTTAGACAGAAAGAAAATCTCCAAGCCAGCCAGGACAGATTGCCATGCCCCAAGCAGTGTATTATTAACTCTTGATGGTTAGAGTGCCCAAGTAGAGTCCTCAGGCCAATTGTTGCAGTAGTTGTTTAGCTTCAGGTATAATATAATGTTTTACATTGTATATCTTTATATAATTTTTTATATGTGTAATCCTGGCACTCTTTTGCTTCTTGTTATATTACAGCACAGTGGCTGTCTATGAGTGGAATTTTCTTACTCTTCTTTTTTTGTCTTTCTATGATATTCTTTCCCCACCAATATAAATCTCTATGTAGGGCTGAGGTAATTTCAGCTAATCTAACTTTGTTGCTGTATATGCCATGTAATCGCCTGAGTATTTAGTGGGAAAACGTTTGCAATCTGATCTGTGACCAAGTTCTCTATCCCACCGAACAGTACTGACCTTTTTAAGTTTACTTTGTATTGATTATCTTGTTCCTGAGTAAGTGTAGGGGAAGATGCTTTTAAGAATATCTCAGAGCCTCATAAAGTGGTCTCCGGTTTCTTTGTGTATGTCACAACTTCCAAGGCATAAGACTTCCAAGTAGATAAAGGTATCTCCTTAAAAGCAGGAGGAGTATGCTCCGGATTTTCCCGGGGAAGCTTAGAAGCAGTTCTTCCAGGAGAAGGCGTCCATGATCCTTAAGAAATTTTCTATCAGTTCAATATACTCAAGTTGTATAAATATTAAAAGCCCTCCTACCATGTATCACGTGGAGATCAAAAACAAAACTTGCATGATGGCCATCATACGACTCAGCTTTATGGGATCTTTGCCAAGCAGCTGTACTGGCTTCAGAACTTTTGCTTTTCCCATCAGATATGGCTGTGCCACGGTGTCCCATTTATAACAATGCCATCAACCGTACAAATAGAGGGAAAAGTTTAAATAATTGAACCCAAAGAGGCTAATGTGGGTTAAGAGGTCTTCATATTTCTTGTAAGTGCTGTCATAATATTCTCATATCTAACAGAGGTTCCAAAAGAGAATTAAGAAATGAGAATACCAGTTCCTACCTGGAACTAATAATCATAATCAATAATAAAGACTTGCTCAGTCATCCAAAAGCAAAATTGAGAGTTTCTTCTGGCCCAATGGTAGTGGTACATACCTTTAATCCCAGATCTTGAGAGGAAGAGGCAGGTGAATCTCCAAGTTCAAGTCCAACCTGGTCAACAAAGTGAATTCCAGGACAGTCAGGGCTACTCAGAGAAACTCTGTCTCAAAAAACCAGCTAACAAACCAAGCAAAAAAGAGTTTCTTCTGTTTGATAGAAAGTGTCTTTGAACATCATAGATAATTTAAAATTTTATCTTTTGGTTTTTGACTACTTTCTATAATGGCTTGTAGTTAAAGAAGTCAGTTTCTAGGAAGATAGTCATTTGTAGTATCAGACTTCTTAGCACACACAATCAGGCTGGGGTGGGCAGAGATTGCTGAAACTAGGTTAGAAAATATCAGGGTATGAAGCAAGAACTAAGGGAGTTTTAGAGAATTGAACCAGAAAGGTCAGTGAGGCTACAAAGCTGAGGAGACAGAATTAGATCTTGTATATCAGAAAGGCTTTGTAGGGATGGTCACACAGAGAAGACGTGTGACCAAACAGAGAATCTCTCACAAACGTCCTCCTAGAGATGCTTCCAGTTGCTCGTGAGTCTACACAGAGTAGAGGCAGGAATCTCCTACTTCATCTTTCTTAACCTCTCTTGCTCCTAACACTAACTTAGCCTTTGGATATAAGTATAGTAAACAAGTGGAAATGGAGGCGTGATGGAGAAAATTAAGTGCTAGCAACTTATCAGTTACTGGTAAATTCATTTTTTTTGAGCCTAAGAATCAAGTGAGAATTTTTTTTATCTAATTTATCTAAATAAAATTAAGGGATTATGTTTAGACGTTTTCAATTGTAAATGCCAAGGTCAGGAAGTTTGAGATTCAAGGTCTCAGGCTGGTTTATCCCAGTATTCCAAGGAAAGCCCAGGGAGATGAAATGCTTTGTTAACAGTAACTCAGTTGTGATTGAGCCACGACGTGAGCAAAGGTCTCTGGGTTGCTAGTTTTTGCTCTTTACCCTCCACCGCACTGTGCAGGCAGTTATAGGTATGAACACTCCACACTGCCTTAGTCAGGAGGCAGATGCCACGGGCAGTGGCGTTTGCATTTTCAGATTCCACTTCAGGAAAGAGAAATGCTGAAGCAGTCACATTTTATCACTTCCCTGTTCCCTAATAATATTTAACTTTTATTTGAAAATATCTAGGAGATAAAAAAGCATGCTAGCTGGCAAACCAACTCCCTCTACCCCCAGCAGTTAACTTGAGAACACATCTGAAGTCCTTCTTTGGCATATGTTGCAGGAGGGTAGCAGCAGCCAGCTTGTGATCAGTCACCTTTGCAGTTCTCATTTTCCCTCTGGGACCAGTGCCACCACCGATTATTTCTTACAGCCAACTTTCGAGAACTTTGAGGACAATTTGGTATCTGAAAATTTACACATGTGTCGATGAGCCTTAAACCCTTCAGGGAATCACATTCTTCCCTCTCAAGAGAGCATCTGCTGTTGGAAACATCTCCCTGAGACCTGCTTGCAAGAGACTATCGTCTTCTGCTTCCAGGCATGGAAGTGAAGAACTTTGAAGCTTGGGATTATGTTGTGTTTGCAGGCCTCTTTGTCATTTCCTCTGGAATTGGTGTGTTTTTTGCCATAAAGGAGAGAAAAAAAGCAACATCTCGGGAATTCTTGGTCGGCGGGAGGCAAATGAGCTTTGGCCCAGTAGCTTTGTCTCTGACAGCCAGCTTCATGTCAGCTGTCACTGTCCTGGGGACTCCTGCTGAAGTCTACCGCTTTGGGGCATCCTTCCTCCTTTTCATCATTTCATACGCATTTGTGGTCCTCTTCACATCTGAACTCTTTCTTCCTGTGTTCTACAGATCTGGCATCACAAGCACCTATGAGGTAAGAGACCATTTCATGCCTCTCCAGTACCTTTGGAGATGCCACTTCCACTTCAAGGGTCTTTCTTTTCCTTAACTTTTTGTTGTTTCATTAGTGCATATCATCTTGACATCAATAATGGGATATTTTCAAGGCAACTTCACATTGCTAAAAGCAAGAATATTTACTATGGGTGAGGGTACTGTGCTTTGACACTCTGTAGAAGGCAGCTAATAGTGTTACTCTGACTGGTTATTTCCATGATTTAATGAGAACAAATATATAAAATATGTTCTGAAAAAGTGGGAAATATTTATATTTATAATACTTATATTTAGTTAGTGAGAGGTAATAAAGAGACATTATCTTTATTATCATTAGCTTGATTGTTCTGAAAGGCAAATAGAACAATGCTATTAGAGTTATAATTTGTCAGCTGAGAAAACTGAGATCTAGTGGGTAAGTTAGGTATTTTTTAACACTAGACAAAAGTCTACTGAGAAGCTAATTTGTATATGTTCTTTTCTATGGGCTGTTTATTAAACAGTAGATCTCTAGTGGTAATTGTTACTGCACTTCAGTTTTAAGAATCAATTAGAAATATTTTGGAAAAGAGAGAAATATTTTTGTAGGAAGGAATTCCTTAAAGATAAAGATATGTAAATCATTGTAATGAGTGGGAAATAAGACCATGGAATTTTGGTTTTGAAGCAATACTCAAGAAAATCAACATATTCAAAATTGAATTTCCATGCTCAGTATTTAAGGTTAATAAAAATGCAGTTTTGTGTGAAAAACAACAACCACACCATAGAATTTCATTGCCAATGAAAACTCTGAAAGTTACAACAGAAGACTTATAAAAAAAACTTGTTTAAAAATCAGTGAGATAAATTATCATAAAGAGTTTCTCTAGCCTTCCAAAGCCATTTAGGCAAATGAATACTTTAAAGAAGGTCTTAAGACATACAGAGAGTCCATCATATCCCAAATGTTCTACATTAATTATCCTGATGCTGAGAAATTAATCATAGTTGGACAATTCAGCAGGCTCAGTATGAGTCACAAATTCAAGAGATAATGGTTAAATTTATGATTAGCTCTAAAACTGTGCACACATGCCATTAAATACTAATGTGTATTTGAGAATAAATTTTCCCATCCATATGTGAACATTTGACTAAAGAAGATGTAGCTGGAGTTTTCTAGTTTTGCTCTAGAAATATTTTTGACATTCTCAGCTCTATGTCTGTATTTCTTCTTGAAATATGTGCTATGATCAGCCATTCATTCCAGAAATACTCATAAAGCATTTACTCAGCTTGTGTACACCGTCAAGGTTTGAGGACATGCGTTAAACAAATTGCCTGCCCTCGTGGAGCCAATTTCATGCAAAGGAGACAAACAATAAATACATAAAACATAACACAGGATCATATATAGAGTATTTAGTGTGAGCTAAGTACTATTGGAAGTATTTTACCTGTATTAACACATCCAGTCTTTGTTGGCACAAAAATCACAGCACTCACCTCAAGGAATAAGGGATAACTTGTTTTGGAGCCAAATTTGAGTGAATGTGGCCATGGAAACACAGAGTTAGATTATCAAAGGTTCTGCGTTTACTTTAAAATGATTGAACAGTGTGCTCACATGGAGCAACCTATCTTCTCCAATGCTTGTAATTTGTAACTAATTTTGGTAAAGTGAAAGGCAATTAAACAAACTGCAAACACATAACTGAAGAGATTTAAGACTCCTTTCAAATTTCCGTGTTAAATTTAGATACAAACCTGTTTTAAAAGTACTACTGTTAGTCTAGGATGCTTTAAAACCCTTGTACAGGAGAACATGACGATTATTTAAATACCCATGAGGTTATTTTGGGATTGATCCGTGCTTCACAAGAATTGGCGGTATGGCCTAGAGGTAATGCCGCAAACTCTAATATAAGCCTACTTGGCTTTGAATGCTAGTTCTGCCACATACTAGCTGCATGATAGGAAAATTTCTTAAGCACTTTATATTGTATTGTAATAACTTCTGCCTTGAAGGATTTCTACAGTGGATGAGATGGATGAGATTTTATGTGGATTTTTTTTATATATATTTGGACTAGAATGCTATATTAACATTCTTAATTTTTTCATTGTCCCCTACTTTTAACGCTGTGGTATTTGGGGTGTCTTTATTTATATCCCATTATACAGTAAAATATATTACTTTAAGGGTTTTTTTCAGGTATGAAAAATGGAAATAAGTGGACATTACATTGCGCTCCTTGAACACCAGTCTGCTTTGTCATTTGCTTTAACTTAAAGGAAAAGTGTTGGCTCAGGACACCCAGGACCAAGTTCTCAGCACAAAGGAGATTTATTTGTTTCAGAGGAACATAGGGCAGGGAATAAGAGACAAACACAGGATATAGAAGAAGATGGAGAAAAAAGGGGAACCAGAGAAAGGACAGAGGGGTATTTGTCACAGAGGACAAAAGACTGCCTCTGGAAAGACAGAGATGACACATAGGAAAATTGTAGTTTATAAAGGTACAAGTGGAAACCCCATGTTGGGATGAGGTGTTTAATTTTAATTGGGCATGTTAATTAGGTGAGCCAAAGGGAGCCTTGCTGTAGGAAGTCCTACAACCAGTAGTTACCCGCTGTGGGATTCGGTTTCTGATCTCCGCACCAGCAGAGGATTCTGAATTGTGAGTCTACCCCTAAATAAATAACCGTCTATTTCTCAATTCTGAGCTGGTGTGGGATTTCTTTTATGCATCCTTCTTCAGAGCCTTTTATTGGTGAACTTTAATACTTTGTTAGCTGGACCTTGGTAGTTAGACTCAGAGGGAGGAAGTGGCTAAATGAGGGAATGGACCTTGGGGACTAGCTTAAGAAATGTAATCTAAAAGTTGTTTTTTTTAATCAAGGCAAAGGGAACTGGGGAGAAGAAGGTCTGCCAGAGTCATGCGCACCACTCTTAAACTGGCCATAGTCCTTCAGTGATGATTAAAAATTTCAAACAATTAGTGAGTTTGGATTATAGATCTCATGAAATTTACATCTTCTGTGTTTTGCTCCTGGGAATGCTGCCATGATATTGCTATGCAAGCAAGCAAGATGAAATAGACTGGTTAACTCTGTGGCATGATTGGACTCAAAAAGAACAGGGGTAAGCTAACTGACTTCCCACGTCCAGATATGCATGTAGTGTAGGCCATCTGATACCTCAAGCCACCAATCTTCCACTTGATTAGAGCTATATGGGAACCTGGAGAAAGAATGGAGGAATAGCCATTATCCTCAAGAGTGATGAAGGATAGTTATTCTTGAGTTTTGAACCCATCACTTTTTGGATGGGTATTCTAGTTTGCTTTCAGTTGCTGTGATACAACACTGTCCAAAAGCATCTTGGGAAGGAAAGTGTTCATTTCATCTTGAGTCACAATTCATCATAGAAGGAAACTCAAGCAGGAACTCCAGGCAGGAACCTGAGGTAGGAACTGAAGCAGAGACCATGAAGACATTCTAGTTACAAGACTTTCAAAGGCTGCTTTTTTATTCAACCCAGGACCACCTTTCCAAGGGTTGCACTATCTCTAGGGGTCCAGTTTTTCCCTCATCAATCATTAATCAACCAAATGCCCCATAGACTGGATGGGGTCTATTTTTCAATATGGTACAATATAGCAATACATATATACATGTATATATATGTATATATATATGTATGTATGTATATTTTAATAGCCAGTGAGTTGGATGCTTTGATACACAGTGGGATTTCAAGATGAAACTCTGAATCTTGGGATGAAATACCCATGTGAAAGCATAGAATTTACTTTTGACCATATGTTATAAATTAGAATTAGCTCAATTTCAATAGCATACATTTTCATTATCTCTTGTTTTATGGTTTATAATTAGACTTTTCATGGTATCTTCACTTAGTTTAACTTATTTTCCTTTTTCTTTTTCTGTTCTAATAAGCCCAGCCTATTATTTACTCTTAAAATTTTTAAAGTACTTTCCATATTCAATCATTATTGCCAGTTTCTTATATTGGATGACCTTTAAATTTCTTACTCCTAAGTTTTCATAAAAAAGTACATAGGTTATAATGTCTTGAACAGTGATCTCCGAACACTTGTAGTAGTTTTTTCTTTGTATTAGAGTCTGTGGAATTATTTTGATAGTATTATATTTAAATATTATGGAATATTACTTTAGCAAAAGTGATATTATAAACTAATTACCTTAAATGGATATTTAATATCAGATAAAGTCTCACTCTATATTATGAGGATTTTCATTCAATCTATGGAGGAATTAGCTTTTAATCTTTGTAGATAGGTCATTATGCTACTTGAATGAAAAATGACATGTTTTATGTGGTTTATGTTATAGGGACATATTCTAGATGAATGACGAAAATGATTTTAGGGTTTTGACTTCTGAAGCAATTGGGCTAACTAGGAGTCTATCACCCAAAATATAGAGGAAAGATATTTTTAAAACAATATCAAAAGAGATCAAAAGAGATACATTGAGTGTCTGTTTGAAAGTGTGGTATAGGTATGAGGTTCCTTTCATGAATTGGATCTGGGTCCTGAAAGCTGAAGAGGATGCAAGATTAAATGGATATATCTCTTTTTCTTGCTCAGTCTTGATGCAGGAAGTCAGTGGGGGGCTTGGTCTTTCCTCAACTGAATATATTAGGCTTTGTTGACTCCCCATGGGAGGCCTTTTCTTTTCTGAGGAGTAGATGGGGGTAAGTTGAGGAAATGGGGAACTGTGATTGGTATGTAAAATGAATTTAAAAAGCTTATATATCCAACAAAGACAACCAACAGGTGAGTGAAAAATATATTGAAAGGGAGAGAAAATATAATCAGCTGTAGAATTATATTGCATCAAGCATGAGAAAATAATTTTAGGCCATAGAAGGAGACACAAGACTCCAGGGTGATGGAGAGAGAAACAAAAGATGATCAACAGACAACAAAAGTTCAGAGAAGCTCAAAGTGGATTTATTGTTAGGCATCTCTGTGGGAATGTGGCACTGTAACAATGATTGGTTCTGAGGAAACTCATTTTGAATTTTTTATCTTCAGAAATGAAAGGTTATAAATTTCTACTATTTTAAGCCACTCATACCCATACATAAGAAGGCAGACTGATGGCTTTAAAAATATACAGTTTATCTGAGCTACAGAGCTCAGAAGACAGCATATATACGTAAAAATAGGGAAGCCAATTGGAGTAATCTTCCTGAGAGATAACTAAAAGAATTGAAAACAGGTTTTAAACTAAATTTGAGCAAAATGTCTCTTTCATTTTTAATTATTATTGGAAAGTAGAAAAAGAAACCAAAGAGCTGTTGGTGACCACCTTTACAAACATCTTGTCATGAAGATAATTCTTGTGGTTCATAGGTATTGCAGCTGAATAGAAATTGTCCCCTTATTGGATGCCAAGTATAGAATGATCGGCTTTGAAAACATATGCACAAACAACAACAGCAAAAGATACAACAGGTTACTTATAGATATTTGTACATACAGAGACATATGTACAAACATGCACATATGTTTGTAACAATAATAGTCAAAGAAAAAGAGGATATTAACTTGATGGGACATAAAAGGGATTTGAAGGAGGGTAGCTGGAAGGGACTAGAGAATAAAAATGGAAGAAGAAAGTAATACAATTAAATATTAAAGATGTAAAAAACAATAATTACCAGGTTAGCAATGAATATAATTCAATATGGAGAATAAATGCTAAGAAGGTCCAGGTATAACATGAGATAGACATGTGTGGCCAGGCAACAGTGCAAAAAAACTGGAGAGGTACACATTGTTTTGGTATCAATAGAGAATCACTGGATATTTTGAGAGTGGTATGATCAGAACTCTCTTAAGAGATACAATGTGTGTGTTTTGGGGGCATGAACTAATAGAACACTCCAAGCCTTAGTTTTATAGTGACCAGTGAGAGTGTTACAGAATTATTCCAGAAAAGAAGAAACAAAGAATTAAGCTAAGTTGTAGGCAGAAGGGATATAAAGGATAAATTTCCATGAAGGGGGAGGATATCAAACAGGAAAACCCCTGAATAAAAAATGATACAACCTAAATTTTGATACAAGCATCCCAATTGCCTTCCATGACTATTGTGAGAAGAACCGTATTATATGTTTGACTTTCAGCAATCCATGCTTTTTTCCCTCCTGCTGCTTCCAAGGATATATACAATAAAATGGCATCATAAACCCAGAGGAATGCCAAGAAAATAAAAAAAGAATGTTTGCTGCTTGTGTTTTGAATAAGAATGGCTCCCAAAGGCTTATATGTCTGAATGCCTAGTCATCAGAGACTGCAGCTACTTGAGAAGAATTAAAAGATATGATTTTGGTAGAGAAACTGTAACTGGGAGTGGGTTTTGGGGTTTCAAAAACCCAAACCAGGCTTAGTAGCTCTCTCTTCCTGCTGCCTGAGGATTAGGATCTAAAACTCTTAGCTACTTCCTCTCCAACACCATGTTTGCCTGCATACCACCATGCTCCTCACCATGATGACTATGGATTAAACCTCTGAAACTGTAAGCGAGCCCCAATTAAATATTTCCTATGGTCACAGTGTCTCTTCACAGCTTGGAAAACTAAGACACATATCTTGCCTAAAACTGCATGTCTTTCTCTGTTTTGTAGTACTTACAGTTACGATTCAACAAGATAGTTCGCTATGCAGCAACGGTCATCTACATTGTGCAGACGGTAAGAAGGGCTGTGACAGGTTTGGGAACTGAGGGTGACAAGAAATAGCTTCAGTTATGTTTATTGGGGGGGGGTTCTCTCAATAAAAGGGCAGCTTTGATACTAAGAGTTACTCTCATCTTCTAAAGACCTAGTCTGTTCCCATGCTCACCTTCCTAGACATGGATGGAGGGGGGAGGACCTTGGACTTCCCACAGGGCAGGGAACCCTGACTGCTCTTTGGACTGGAGAGGGAGGGGGAGGGGTATGGGGGAGGGGGATGGAAATGGGAGGAGGGGAGGAAGTGGAAATTTTTAAGTAAAAATTAAAAAATAAATAAATAAAATAAATAAAGATAGCACTTTTAAGATGTGTAATTATCTTTAGACGAATCCACTCAGCATAGAATCCTCTTTTGGGGCTAACAACTAACAAACTGTTAACTGGGCATGGTAACCCAGGTTTTTAATCTCAGCATGGTGAGGCAGATGTAGGTGGATCTCCCTGAGCTCATGGACACTCTGTTTTACATAGTGATGTTAACCAGGGCAATGGGAGAGACCTTATCTCAAAAGTAAACACACACACAAAACATACATATATGCACATATACATACAAATTGTGTATATATCATAAATGAATATAAACAAATTGTGTCAGAAACCACAGGGAAAAAATTTCTTCAAACTTATTGCATTCTTTTTAAAGATTTAATTATGGAATAGCCTGGTAAGTTATTTTGTCATTATTCTGTTTGGAGACAAGATCTCCCAACATAACCAGGCTGCAAATTCTCCTGCCTCTGTATCTCAAGTCCTAGGATCAGTTATGTGTGACTATATCTGGCTTAGGTTTCTAAACTGATAAACTGAGCCACACCATAAAAGCCTAATTGCTCTACAACAGTAATTTTCATTAATATACCTACTTCCTTCTTTTGGAATCTTTCCCCACATGGGCTTTAGAATTCTTTAAGCTGCCCAAGCTCATCTGTGCACACAGACACTGCTTCCTGATACCCTCCAAGTACTCTCTGCTACAAAATAACTTCCTGCCCTCTTAAAACCTGACTCTGCCTGAAGGGTGTTTATCTAAAATAGAGGCAAATAATATTTCATTTCCAGCTGTTAGCAACATTTCATGAAATAGTGAGTGCATCAGAGCACACACTATAAGGCTCCTATCCTAATATTTTTTTTTTTAGATTTTAATTTAAATATATTTCTCCCTTTCTTTTCTTCCCTCCAAACAATTCCATATAACCTACTCTACTCTCCTTCAAATTCATGGTGCCTTTTTTCACTAAATGTTATTGCATGCATATATACACATGTATATACACAAGTATTCATAAATACGACCCTTCCAGTCCATACAATGTTCTTTGTATGTGTGTTTTCAGGGTTGACCATTTGACACTGAATAAGCAATTAGTGAAAAAGAGATACTTCTTTAATAGCCCACATTTGCATTTTAAAACCATGACATTCACATGGGATGCATAGTCACATGGTTTACATAATGAAATTCAGTTTAAAATAAAATTGAAGTTGGCTAATTTCCACCAGTGAAACAATTGCAATTATGTGGATTAGAGCAAGTTCTGATAATGGAGGATACCTTCAATATCACTTTTCCTTAAATAGTTACTTCTCAGAAGCTTTCCCATCTCTATTTTAAGCTCAGGTTTTCTGTTTGTTTTGGTTTTGTAGCAAATTGCTGAAATGAGCTTTTTTCTTTAGTAAAGTTTCTCATGAGGCCAGCAGAGAGTACATTGTTTATGTGCATGAAGGGAGCGAGGATAGGGAGTTTTGAATCCATTTTCTGAATTGCTTTCAAGCTTTAAACTAAAAATTATTTTAATTTCCTGTTTTTGTGTGTTTGTATGTGCCCCGTGCATATGTGTGTATGTGCACATTGGCATGTGTACAAGTGCACAGGTGTTTGTGTATAGGACCAAGACTGATGTTAGGTATCTTCCTGGATTGCTTTTTTATGTTATTCTTTAAGGCAGTGTCTATTAATCAATCCCAGACTCACCAATACAGCCAGCCTCTCTAGCCAATTTGCTCCAAGGATCCCTCTACCTTCTGCAGCTGGAATTACAGGGAAGCTGCCAAGCCTAAAAGTATTTGTGTGGATTTTGCAGACCCAAACCCAGTCCTCTTGCCTGAGGAAGTCATCCCCTCAGCCCTTCATGGAGTTGCTGTTTATCTTTTGGAAAATGCCAAATACAAATATAGCACATTAAAATTAGAAGGAACCTTTAAGGTCCAACCATTTTTCTTAATCTTGTAGGTAAATTCCCTCTACAAATAGAGAGTAAGCCACCTTAAAATAGGACTATGTGAGAAAGAAATGTTTGGTGAACAAGCTGAAGGAAGTAAGTTATTCAGACTAAGATCAATAAAGAACTTTCTAGGCAGGCTTATGTCTCATGGCACTTTCTCTCTCTTCCGGCATCTCCACCAGATTCTCTACACTGGAGTTGTGGTTTATGCCCCTGCTCTGGCTCTCAATCAAGGTGAGTTATTGACATATGTCATCTCAAGATTTATGAGTTCTCAGCTTTGAAGAAATACATATATTTGATACCTTATGGGAGAGAGATCCTCGTAGTTAGTGGGCTCAAAATGACTGTAGCAGTCACAGGAATCTCTAAAAATGTCCTGAAATCGGAAAATAATAGAAACTATTATTTACTGCATTTTGCTTTACAAAATTGCTTGATTATAAACAGACAGTTCAATTGCATGTTGCTTATTTGGGTGTTTTACGTTTGTTTTCCAATCTTTGAAATGATGGCAGTTTTGGTATTGTACATTCATAAGTACTAAGTAAGGTCATTGGTGTTGAAGATCACTTCATAAAATAGAAAATCGGACCACAAGAGTAAAAGGTGTTTATAATTACATTGAGTTGTATAGTTGATCCTTTCAAGATTATAGAATCCTGAAAATAACAATAAATAAAAATAAAAAATAACAAAAACAGAATTTTGTTTTCTCAGTGACATCTCCTATATTGAAAGAACTTGTTAGTCAAATTAATTAAGCTGTGTGTTTACATTGGGAAGTACTAGTTCCTCAAAAACTTAGCTTCAAGACTATTTTCTGTATTGCCTAGAAGTATAACAGTATACATTTAATATTAAAAATTAGCAGAAAACTTGAAATTCATGCTTTTCCTCCATGCGATATTATGAATATTGCTTTACAGATAAATGACAGAATAAAAGCTTTGAAATCAGTATAGGTGGCTTCTGGCTTTTCAGTAGACATGGGTAAGAAGCAACAGCAAAACCGAACGAAGGACTGAATTTAAAGAATCAGAGGAGGTCAAGTTTGTTCTTTTACTTTTCACAGAGACAGTTGCTTTAATGTTTTTTCTTCTTTCGTAGTAACTGGGTTTGATCTCTGGGGCTCCGTGTTTGCAACAGGAATTGTTTGCACATTCTACTGCAGTTTGGTATGTACAGGGCCATAAATAATATTATAAACTGCTTCATAATATGGTATAAGGGTAAATCTCCAAAAAGAGGGTATCAAATTATGGATGAACTATTTATTCCAGAACTAAATGAAAACATGTTGTTTTATATGACAATTTCTTGAGGAAGACACTATTACTTTCTTTAAAAAATCTTAGCAGTTCCATTTATAAAGAGTATTTGGGTTCTGAGATTATTCAGAAGAATAAAGCTTTATTATTTTGGGGTCCCTGTGCTAGCAGCTGAGTGGGCTACTATTTCACTAGGTTGGGTCATTGTAGAGATCTTAACTGATTCCAGTTTTGTAAATCACTTTGATTCATGTAATGTAAAAATGTGTAAAGCCTGTCCAGGGAAGGAATCCAATTTAGGACTATAAAATAACCCAATGAATATCCTAAAATAATAAAGCTTTATTCAGAGGAATAAATCATCAAGAAAACCATGTCTAAAGAGAAATAATTTAGCGAAAAATATCAAGGGATCAGAGGATTAATGACCCTTTGTAATGTCCAAAAAACATAACATTTATATTTCTCTATATATTCTAAGAAAAAATGACAAAATACATGTACATGGATGATCAAGGGAAGTTGGCATAAATAAATCATAGGAACCTGTGGCTATTTTATCTCTTATATAAAAACCATTTATTATTTTGATTGTATGAACTCTCAATTTTCAAGCAGATTATGTAGTATTTATAGAATATTTATATAGTTCTGACAATTAATTTAGATCATTATATAGTTAATGTGTGCTTACTTTCTACCCAACTCATAAAATTGAAATCTTTTGTTCTTCTGAATCATCATATAATTTTCTGATTATACTTTACTAGTTATTAGAAGGTAGGTACATTGTCTATCTGGTTATACTTTTCTCATTATTAGCAGGTGTCTGTCTGCCACAGCAAAGAATAATAAACAAATTGACATATAACTGACTTTCCATGTATTTGACATTGTGCTAATATCACATATCCTTTGTGACATATATCATGATAATATACATATGTCATGATAATATACAATTTTATCTCTCCTTTATATATTGCAGACACTATTGTTTCTCAATGCTAAAACATTTATCTTTATTTCTCTCTGTTTTTGTTCTCATAACTATAATTCTTACACACTTTCTCATACTTTGCCTGAAAAGAGGCACTTCCTCTGTCTACCTTGATCGTGTCAAACTATATTTTATCCATAATTTTTAGATTTGTGGCTTAGATTTCACAGAGTATCATAGCTCCCAAAAGCATCTCCCACCGCTCCCACCCACCTATACATAACAAAACTGTACAATACAGAGATAATTTAAATGTGTGATCATCAGGACATCAGGACTATTATTTGAAAGTTGTAGACACTGTTAGAGCAAGATGGATCAGACTATTCGGCAAGCTCATAACTGTATTCTTATTGTATTAGTGAGCTTTTGACTCTTATGGATATCAGCTGAGTTTGGGACTTTCTTGTAAAGTTTGGGTCTTTGGATAAATCTGATGTGACTCAAGTTTAGTAAATCACTTTGTTTCATGCATTGTGAAAAAAAAGTACAAAATATTCCTGGAGAATGTATCTTTTTTAGGTTGACAATATAACACAATTTTAATTCTAAACTAACGGATCATTTGAAACAGACTGTAACAAGGTACCACGAGTGAGGAACAGTAAAAACTTCAAACAAGATTTAGCCTCTCAGGAATACCAAATACTGAATTGCAAGATGTTGAATAAAGTGGTATGCATAAGCTAGTTCAGTAATGTATATCACAAATGAATATGTTACAACTATTCTAATAAATGGAATATATTTAATGACTGTCTTTTTGTAAGATACAGTAGAGGAAAAAACAGCATATTTCAGAAAGATGATGAAATTAAGAGAGAGAGAGAAATAATAGATAATGATGACAAAATGAGATTCAATTTATGTTCAATTGGCGACTAGGGGGAGACGTGGTATATTTACCCAAAATGGAGAAAAGACAATATTTATAAACAGTATGTTTTGAAGTACTTTAGAACTGATAGGAGTAGGAATCTATAAGTTTAGCAAGTACTGTCTTTGGAGATAAAGAAAATTCCATTGCTAGATATGTCAGTGAAACCACTGAACAGTATATACGGAAGATCAATGAAAGAACCAATGATATGGAGAAGCATATGCATGAACTGATTTGGCATATTTCCTGGCAATTTTTATTATTTATTATAGAAGCTTGTAACAATGGAAAAAGAGAATGTTCAATGATTGCAGGGAAACAAATCTCAAATTATATACAGTTATATTTCCAACAAAGTTACCTTGAAGAACTGAGTATCAATTAATCCAAGTACTTATGACAAACAAAGCATTCTCTTGGATTCATTGCTTGGGACAATGGTCTTCTTCTCTGTAAAGAATTGTCACTTGAATTGCTTTAATAAGATACTGATTGGCCAGTAGCCAGGCAGGAAGTAAGGGCAGGGCAACCAGAGCAGAAGAATTCTAGGAAGAGAAAAGGTTCATTCTACAGTCATCACCCAGATACAGAGGAAGCAAGATGAGAATGACTCGCTAATAAAAGTTACCAAAACACATGGCTGACACAGATAAGAATTATGGGTTAATGTATGATATAGGAGTTAATAAAAATCCTGAGCTAATAGGCCAACCATTTTATGATTAATGTAGACCTTTACGTATTTTTTGGGGACTGAAAGGCTATGGGACCACATGGTACAGAAACCTCTGTCAACAAATGGCACCAATGTGGACAACTATATCCACATAGAACCTTAGAGAGCTTGGGAAGTAATTCTAGAAACAAAAGAAACAGAGTTAAGCTCAGCTTCTTGGTAGCAGCATTTACTCAGAGAGGCTCTGTTTGTTAGAGGCAAGCACATATCATTTAATAGAGGCTTCCTGACTCAACATTAGCTGCAAATCCTTGCGGCTCTTTTAAGAGGCCCCACCACTGAACACTTAAATGGCGTTTATGAATAGCTGGCAGTGTGCTTCTTTGTGGTGGCAGGGACCTTGAAACTCTGTAGAGTTGTGGCAATAAACATGGTTCTGGCCAGTATCTCTGCCATGAAGCTAGACTCTCAGAAAGCTAAAGAATGATGTGGATACTGCAGAAAAAGCCATGGCTTTAATCCTAGCCATATTGCTTAGCAAATTACTCATGTAGTCAAAAAAGAAAGATATACAGTAAAGATAGATTCAGATGAAAAAAACCTATAAGTGGTTCAGAGTGTCTTTAACCAATTCTACACCTCCATTCTTTCTTGCACAACCTGCATGCCTAAGACTATCATGTATTCATGTTGACTGTCTGATCAAATACTTTTGTCCATTTGTGGGGGCAACAAGCTTGTTAGCATGGATTTGAAATTATTTCATTAGGTGTGTCTGAGTCTTTCATCTAATCTCATCTCAACATACTTCTTCTGAATCCCTTCTCCATCTAACTAGGCAAGAGGTGACTGACAATGGCTCACCAAAAGGATAAATTATTTTTCCATCAGTTGTAGAAGATGTGTTACATTTTAGGTTGAAGAATATTATTTTAATTATGTTAAAAGGTATTACATTTTTTATCCTGCATTTATATAACAATGTAAAAATGTGTTATATTTGTTCATGCTGCACTTGTTTAAAAATGTAAAAATGTGCTGCTTTGCTTGCCTAAGGTACCTGATTGGTCTAATAAAAAGGAAAACAGTCAATAGTTAGGCAATAGAGGGAGAGTTGGGACTGATGGGTAGACAGAATGAGTAGAAGCAGTCATCTAACCTTCAAAGATAAGAGAACAAGGAAGAAAGAGAAGGAAATATCCAGGGTGAGCTAGCCAGGTAGCTGCCAAGCAACCAAACTCCATGTAGGACGTACAGAATGAGAGAGAGGTAAAAAGCTCCAAGGCAAAATGTGGATGAAGAGAAACAGGATACATTAGGTTATAAGAGCTAGTGGGACAAACCTAAACTAAGAGCAAGCATTTATAAGAAACCTCTGTGCCATCATTTGGGAACTGGTTCACAGTCCAAGAAAGCCTGGCACATATGGTGTTCCAACATGGGGCACAAATTTCTACATAGGGCCTGAGAAAGTTGAACAGAAAAAGAAAAAGATAGAAATGCACACAGATCCTTTAAGTGGCTTTTCTCTATAGCCACCACTTGAGTAGCTCGCATGCTAAGTAGAAATGGCAATGCTACTCTACAGGCACCAGCTTCCTAAAGAAACAAAACAAAACTGTTAAAGGGTTAAATGTTTAACCAGGCTTATGACTTGGATCTCATGTACCTAAGTAGGATGGAGTCTGCTGCCAGTGCAAAGGTGTGTAGCAGTTGAAGGTTTGGCTCACGAGGTCAGAAAAGGCTTGAGTCACTCAATAAAGACAGGTCCAGATGGAAAAAATAATCTCTCAATAGGTTAGAGTGTGTTAAAAATATCATAGGCTTAAGAAAGAAAATGGGTGTAAGCAGTCATAGAAAAAAGTAAATAGTTTATAAATAAACGATAGGTTACTCCAGTGTCTTCTTTCTGCTCAAGCTAAAGATAAGTGTGTCAACTTTTCATAGAAGTTACTGACACTCTGGAGGAGTAACACGATGATAATTCTATTTTTCAGTGTTAAAAATATCACCTCCTTTCATTTTACTGGCACTTATTCACTTGAAAAAGCACATTTTATATGCAACTTCATTTAATCTTTCCCTAATTGCCTTTGTCATGTTCAATATGATCCTAGGAGATTCAAGTCATGGATTGCTACAGTAAGCTCTTATTTTTCTCTTTCCCTTCTGTACACATGATTTCAACAAGAATTCTGCATTAGAATCATTTGGGAAACTTTGAAAAAACCAGGAATAAAAGAACCCACCTCTAGCCTCAGATAATTCAATATCCTTGGGGAGGAATATGGGTACTGTTTCTCCCTGCCTCCTTCACTAAAAGGGAGGCAGCCTTGGTATAATTACTACTTTAACCTCTTTCCCAGTATCTATACTAAACTTAACCATTAGATTAGCCTTTCTGAAACTCTGGTGTATTTGTCTGACTGTCTAATCACCATGTTGCTCTCAAAACACCTTCCTCCACCTATGTGTAGAAACTGACATTTATTTCTTCTTAATTTCTCTCTCTCTCTCTCTCTCTCTCTCTCTCTCTCTCTGCCTCTGTCTCTCTCTCTCATTTTTTATAACATGCTATCACTAGGTTCATAAATATCCTAAGGTTGTCCAGCTGGACCTGTGTAATTGCCCAATTCTTTCATTGTTTCCTTACCTGTATTTAATGAAACATGCAGTATGAGAATCCTATTCTCTAGAATACCTCTCAAAGCCATGTAGTTATTTCCATCTCTGCCCTGCTTCAATCATTGATCATCTTGGGCATGGAAAACAAGAATAAACTTAGAAATTTATGTTCTACTGCAGCCTTGCCATTCACAGTAGCTACTGTGAAACAAATGTCATCATGTGATTCTCTTTGTTCTTAGGATATTATTTAAGTGGTCTCATCTAAATCTATCTTCTCCTTTTGGTCTATTTGCACCTTCCATCTGCAGCTCCCAGGATTCTCTCATTTCCTCAGAGACTTCTACTTCTTTTTTGTTCAAACTCTCCAAACAGATCCTCAGCTTGTGTGCCGAACCTCATAGATTTTTATCCATTACTCAGAACTTACCTTAACTGTCACTTCCTCAGACCAGGTGATAGCATTCCTGTATTTCTCACAAGTAACTAGTCTTCATTGCTCCTTCCCACACTTTTAAGTAAAGGTTTGTATTATTATTTAATTTCCAACTCTACTATTAAACTTACAAACTCATGGAACTGCAGAGGGGACATGCCTCCATCACTTACCATTTTGCCGCCATGTGTTAACTCAGAACTTGTCACTTGAAAGATGTTACTACAGTCAGGATGAGTTTTGTATGAATCAGTACCAGGGAGACTGTCTAGAGTTGGAGGAGTTACAGCCCTCATTTTCAGTAACTCATACCATTCTCCCCCTTTCAGGGAGGTTTAAAAGCAGTGGTGTGGACAGATGCGTTTCAGATGGTTGTCATGATTGTGGGCTTCTTAACAGTTCTCATTCAAGGATCGAATCACGCTGGTGGGTTCCACAATGTGTTAGAGCATTCACGAAATGGATCCCGGCTAAACGTAGTTGAGTATGTTCAACGCTACTTTTTTACCCTTCATAAAATTTAATTACATGACCCCATAAAATAACAGCTGGGCAACAAAGAACCATGCCTCTTATCCCATCTTTCTTGTGTCACAGCTTCGATGTAGACCCCCTCAGACGGCACACTTTTTGGACAATTACAGTAGGAGGAACTTTTACTTGGCTTGGAATCTATGGAGTTAACCAATCGACCATCCAGAGATGCATCTCTTGCAAGACAGAAAAGCATGCTAAGCTGTAAGTTGTTGGTTAAGAACAATTTCTATGTTATCCCTTACCTCGGTGAGTCATTACTTATGTATGGATGCATGAGATAAAGGAAGAGACTTATTTATCCTGTTCAAAGTCTTTGTGTTTATGAGTGTATATTTGTATGCCTGTGAGTGTGGTGTATGTAAAAGTATGTGTTTGGGAGGTAAGTGCATATGTGTGGAAGCTAGAGGAGGATGTTGGATGCCCTGCTTTATCAATCTCCATCTCAGTTTAATTATTTATTTGAGATAGGGTTTTTCAACATAGCCCTAACTGTCTTAAAGCTCACTATGTAGACCAGGCAGTCGTGAACTCAGAGATCTGCCTGCTTCTGCCTCCTGAATGCTGTGTTAAAGGTGTGTGCCATCAGGCCCCTCCAGTTGTTAATGCTTTGAGACATGATGTTTCCCTGTAGTTGAAGCTAGTCTAGCAGTCTAGTCTCTCTGTCTTTCACAGCTTTGGATTACATGTACAGTCCATGTCTAGATTTTTACCAGAGTGCTAGATCTAGACATAAGTCTACATACTTGTATAGTAGGTACTCTTCCACATTCTTCCAGCCCTTTCAACAGCTATTTCAGCCAAACATGACTACTTCCATCCCAGCATACCCTGCTTGGCTTTTTCCTCAATTAAGGTCTGTCTCCATTGACTGAGCAATAGATTAGATTAGGTGCACTGAGTAGGGATAAGGTGCAAATCACAATTCCTGCTTGTAGTCTCCAGTACGAGATGGCCCTGATCATTTTTCATTCATTGTGTGCTGTCTTCAGTTGTAGTTTAATTTTTATGTGGTAGTAGGCAAACTGTGACATGTTTTGGTATTTTAAAATGTTTATTTGGGAAAAAATGGCAACAGGTAGGCCAGGCAGCTGCTACTCAAATATGGTCCATGGCACCATTGAAGGAATATAGGGATAGCACTTATACTGTGTGGACAGACACACTAGTAAAACACAGAACACACTTTACTGATTACAGCTATATAACCACCATATTTTCTCATCTTTATGAGAAGCCCTAGTTCTTTAAGTTGTTTGCAATCCTCCTATATGTTTCCCTTAAGCTTCAATTTTTCAAAATGTAGACACTTAGAAAAATGGAACAAACCAAGCTTCACTTACACTTGCAAACCCATCACAGTTAAATTTCCTCTACATCTATCCTTCTGCTTCAGGATTAGTCAGGTCTGATATCCATTTTAATTCAATTTAACAGATACAGGTATCATTAACATTTCTAAGGAGAGATGTAAGAACTCTAAAATATAAGGTTATGTGTCTGTGTTTGCTCCAGTTCTCACAGGGATATGAGAATAAGCACAGTAAGATTGTCTGGGTACAACCAAAAGTTCCAGAACAGTCTATTCTCTACAGAAAAACCTAAGGCATTTCTCCATTATTTTATACAGCTAGCAAAAAAACCCCACAAATTTCACACAAAATGGAATTACACCCCCAGGGGTGCTTTTCATGGTTCTTGGATCAAGTTTAGTAACTATGACTATTTCTTCACACAATTTAAAAATACTTCAATGTACAATTTCTTATTTTCATTAAATGAGACATAAAATTGTCTTGAAATAATTCAAACGTTTTGTATGTTGAGCCATTAAGTAAGTCGGGAACTACCATGTTACCATATGTATTTTTTGTAACGCAAAATGAAGAGAGCAGATACATCTTCTAGAAGTCTAGCAAACTACTGGTGATGCATGAAAATACCACTAAAGTAAATGATATTAAATAAATCTTCCACACTTAATTAAGTGATGCCCATAATTTTATCAAATGGCTGAACAACTGAAAATGCATGTGACTTTGATCTTAAATTGCATTTAAAATTCAAGTAAAAATCTGCTTTCAGGTTAACTAGAGTCAAGTACCTATAAAGAGAAGAATCTTTTGGTGAGATAAATAATACATGTCTGCTTTTTTTAAATACACTTATTTAGTTTTGAAATAAGATCTCTACTTATTACAGAACAATCTTAGCCTTCTAGAGACAAGATCCATTCTCCTCAGACTCCTGAGTTTTTAGTACAATTGGTATTTTTCATGTGCCCAGTTATAACTTTCTCCTGTGGCATTTTGAATTTCTGCCTCCTAAAAGATTAGGAGGTGTACATTAGGAACTATACCTTTGTCATCTATTATTTTCCATAAAGCACCAAGAATAAAACATTGTGCTTGTTAAATGTTTGTTATTTGTTAAATATTGAAATCCTTAAGAAGAGCCATTCTTTTGTGTATATGCAGAAACATAAAGATACCCACAAATTGGAAGAGTATGAGCATGTGTACACACATACATACACACTTTTTCATGTATCTCAAAACATTCGTGTTGCCATGAAAGAAATGTGTGTTCTTACATTTGAATGTTGAATCATCTTCATTTAAAAAATGGCCAGTTTTAAATTCATCACAATGAAATATTTTTAGCACAATGGAAGGATGTCTACTTTCATGTCTTCCCTGAGATTAGAAATATAAGTAAAATCTTGACACTCAAATGCCTGTATGAAAGTAAAGGACCTTGAAAAAAGATCCAACTGTAACTGTGCTAGTTCCTGTAGGATAGTATGAACTTCACCAAATCATGTTTAAGATGACCTTAAGTTTTCAAGGTCATCTACTAACTTACATGTACTAATCTTTTAGGAGGCAGAAAATCAACACATGACAAGGGAAAGTAATAATTGAACACATGACAAACACCTATTGTACTTAGAATTCAGGAGTCTAAGGAGAATGGATTCTTGTCCCTAGATGTCTAAGACCTTTCTGGAATAAGTGGAGATTTCATTTCAAAGCTAAATAAGTATATTAATAGAAAAGCAGAAAGGTATTATTTATTTCACCAAAACATTCTTCTCTTTATAGATATTTGATTCTAGTTTGTTCCTATTATCTTTAAAATACTCAACTTTAACTTTCATCTGCCTTCATCTCAAAATGACTGAAACAAATACTTGTCTATTTTTATGTTATCTCATTATTATCTCCCTCGAAGAAGTTATTAAAATGCAAGTTGGCTTTTTGACAGTTTCATTAATTGAGTAGGGGGAAAAGCTACTTAAAGTTATATAATGAGAATAATCAGTATGTGAAATATTATAAAAGAAAATAGGTCATATATCATACATATTACAATTTGGCAAAACCCTCTTTTTAATTAATTAATTAATTAAAAATTTCCACCTCCTCCCATTTACCTCCCCCCCCCAACCCACTTTTTAAAAAGGGAAAAATCTTAACCTATTCAAATTTGTAATTATCCTAAAAAGTGTAATGACTCATTTAATGTGATATTATAAAATGTAATGTTTCCTGAAAGCTAGAAAGAGGGAACTCCTTCAGTCTTTAGTCATGAACTTACCCTAGGACAAAGTAGCAGCCAGCTTACCAATTGGCCTTTGTCTTCTCTTCTAGTGCCTTGTACTTTAACTTGTTGGGTCTCTGGATGATTGCGGTGTGTGCTGTCTTCTGTGGTTTGATCATGTACTCGAACTTCAAAGACTGTGACCCTTGGACATCTGGTGCTATTTCAGCACCAGACCAGGTATGCACTTCCACTGATTTCTGAGTAGAATGTACTGAATATGTTGGGTAGTACTGGGGTTATCTTTATTCTGCCTGGGCCTTCACTCACTTGCCAAGCACAAGCCTTTGACTTCCTATTTGAGCTCCTGGGTGACATCACACAGTGCTTTCTAATATGCAGAAGTAAGTCAGCAGAAAAACAACACCTTCCTTTGTTAATGAAGACAAAGTCTGAAGACAGGCTACGACTAACCAGAAAGTCATCTCTAACCCATGGCTTTGGTTGTTGATGATACTTTATAGTCCTTTTCTTTGTAATCTGAGGTTTATTAATGTTTCTTTAATTGAATTAAAATGAGGACAGTTTCATGCACTTTATATTATAGCACATAAATGTGTAGCCGGAAGGATCAGGAATTTAAGGTTAGCAGTGTTTACAAAGGGAATCTGAGAGGATACCATGGTCTATGAGATCATATTTCAAAAAGCATAAAAATTAAAGTAACATTAAATAAATAGAATTGAATTATTCTTATTCTCATACTGCCTAATATCATATTTTCTCAGCATAACACAATTGTATCATGAAAGCATAGAATACTGTGTGGTTTTGAAGACTCAGAGATAGTATGCTCATGAGAAGCATTCACTCACGGCCCTTTTCTATCAACATATATTCAGTTGCCCTACTTTGTCTAGTATAGTCTTCTTTCCCACAAGCTGGGCATACCTAGATCCCCTGAACAACATATGTTAAGAATTGGATTTTAGAACTTAATTATAAATTCAGAGAAAACAGATAGTAAAATTCACATGTTGAAGATACTGGGAAGTGAGTTTCTCATCTCCTTTCACTGCGATTTATATTTCAACACTTTAAATATTGCAGAGATAACAATACACCTCCTTCTCACTTCTCTCCCCTCTCCCTTTATCTCTGCTTCTTTTTTTTTTTCAGTTGATGCCGTACTTTGTCATGAAGATTTTTGACACTATGCCAGGGCTGCCAGGACTTTTTGTGGCTTGTGCCTTTAGTGGAACTCTGAGGTTAGTATGCTGACAAGCTGAAGATATCAATGGTTGTACTGGCAGTGGTGAAGACTGGAATGATGACAGTCATGATCAGCTGTCCACTGAGCCCTTGCTGAGTGTCAATTGGCCTACTGCAATATTCTATTTCTATTTGATCATTGGTATCACACAGCATGTGAAGAAGAATCTTTACTCACACTCTCGTCAGTGTGCAGATAAGGAAACATATTTAATAAGTATGAGGGAGACAACTAACCTATGGTAAGTAAACAGTGGAGGCCTGACGCAGGTGTATTCTTAACCTCTACTTTAAAACTTCCTGGTTATTGTTTATACTTTGTATTCATTCCATCACAAAAGACCTAAGAGTTTTTACTGTTCCAGCAATAAACAAAAGACTAAAGTCTCCCCATTACAGTAAAGGTAAACTCAGTAGTGGGTATCAGAAAGAAATCAAGAAGAAAATACCATACTTTGAAATTCTAGTAGTATAAAAAAGGGTGACTGGCCAAAGATGAGATTAGGATTCAGAAATGCATGCATTAAACCCTAATGTTCCATCTATTGTATCTGGGGAACATCATAGTAAAAAAATGTGCTCCCTAGGTTTTGAGCAGTTCTGACTTTGTGTCCTTGATGTTACAGCTCACATGGTCAATAGTTCAATCTGGATTTTCCATCTGCCCATATCTCATCCCAATGACCAATGCATGTTGCTGTTTTTTTCTATCTTCGTTGAGTTTCCATTGCAGCTTCAACTTGATTTCTATGACTTCATTACATTGCCTGATAAAGAGCCGATTACAGCAACATGGGCCTACATTATGCTGCCTCATTACCCAGCAATCCTTAAAATACTGAAATTATAAATCATGTTTGATATTACCTCTTTTGGTTCATAATACATTCAGTAAGGAAATCTATTACATGATTATGAATACTACTTAGTATATTTATTATACTAATGAAGTTATTGAATCATTTACCCTATATATGTGATATAAAACTTAAGTAGAGCACATGTTATGTTTCCCTTCAAAATTATCAGCCATTTGTTTTATTTTCTAGTAAATACGCTGCCTTTCCTCTCTTGCCTTGAATTACTGCTTTTATTTCATCTTAATTCGTCTATAGATTTTAAATATCTTATTAACTCTCCTTTGTATTCTTCTCATGGTCTATGTCTGTAATGATGTTGGTGCTTTTCAGGACTATAACATATAACGTTGTGTGTTAGGGCTGAGTCTGGTTATTAGTATTATGTAATTTTCTGTACATTGTGTTTTTATCTCAATTATTTTTACTTGATTTTCTGTTAGATTTCTATCTCAAATTATTAAGGCTACAGTGTTTATTTTTGAGTTTTCCTTCTTTTCTACTAGTTATATTCATTTGCCTGTCTTTTTATGTAGCTATGTGCTTTGAACAATGACTAACAACTGAAGAAGAAATCACTACTTTATTTTTTAGAAGGAACCATTCTTGGATGAGAAATTTTCACCTTTTGAAGTTAATTCAGTTATTGGACTAGCTAAAAGATTCTTGATCTATGTGAGGAATTTAAATAAGCTTTCACTGTTTTTCACAAAGAGAACACCAGCTTCCTGATGCTCCAATGGTCTATCAAGGCAATTCTGTGAAGTTGGAGAGAGAGCAGTGCTGCTACCTGGTTATGCTCTTTGTTTCTTTATGGGATTCTCTCACCTTTCTCCTTTACTAGTTACATTCCAGCCTCTCTGGAAGCTTCAGGCTATAGAAAACAGTGATCATCTTCGCACCTCAATGTGTATGCATGTGATTTCCCCTTTATTCTTCAAGGACTTTCACCTACTTTTCTTGAATCCTTTCCCCAACTTTCTTAACCATTACTTATGAAGAGATCATCTCTTACCAGTTTCACAGCACCTTACTCCTGCCTTTCATAGTAACCCTACAAACTGTAGTAAATTGTAAAATTGGTTGTTGAATGTCTGTATTCCCAAGTAGACTGCAAGGACTACGACTTTCTTTTTTTTTTTCAATTTTGATTTTTATTGAGCTCTACATTTTTCTCTGCTCCCCTACCTGCCTCTCCCCTCCTCTTCAGCCCTTCCTCAAGGTCCCCATACTTCCGATTTATTCAGGAGATCTTGTCTTTATCTACTTCCCATGTAGATTAGATCTATGTATGTCTCTCTTAGGGTCCTCATTGTTGTCTATGTTCTCTGGGATTGTGAGTTGTAGGCTGGTTTTCTTTGCTTTATGTTTAAGACTACGACTTTCAAATTCATCACTTATGTGTGAATAAATGAATACACAGATAAAGACTTTTTTACTTAATAGAAAATTTCACTTACTCTGGGTTAGGTTGGTTACTACTTTGCTGCTTCCTCTCAGGCTTAGAGGGACACTCCCATTGTATACACATGCTCATTTTGTGAAAAATCCTTCCATTATTGTTGCCATAATGTCAAGGGAAATTAATGGGAGTCATAATGTGAAAAATTATCTTCTTTCAGAGAATAGTTGCATAGATAATGATTTGAAGGGTGAGTTAACTGCCATGCATGTCACTGAGTTCTAGAATGTGGACAAATGTCAATACATGTATTTTACAAGGCTCTGTGTTTTTGCCTCTCCTAAATGATAAAGCTGACATATAACTCATCCTTCTTAATTCAGACTATTTTCTTGTTTGCCTATTTGTTTTTCTTTCTGTAGCACAGTGGCCGCTAGCATCAATGCCTTAGCAACAGTGACCTTTGAGGATTTTGTCAAGAGCTGTTTTCCACATCTCTCCGACAAGAAGAGCACCTGGATCAGTAAAGGCTTATGTAGGTATAGTTGGTAGAACTTCTGCTATTTATTGTGAATTTTAAATGGGCCAAATAGCAAAATCTTGCATGTGCTCTTCAGGATGCATGAATAGACATAAATGCATGTGGAGACACAGACACGTAGAGTCTCACACTTCTGAAGATCTTACCAGAAGGGTACCAGGAAGGAATGACTAGCTAGTTCACCTTGTACTGGTCTTACTTTTCAGGTATCTCTAATATCTTTACATCAATGTCTATTGATAATGTTGAGTTGATTTTATCAGACATTTTACATGAGGAGTTGCGCTTTTCAGTATGCCTGGCCATTTATCTAATAATTTTCTCTTGAAACAAAACTCTGAGTAATGTACTCTAAGGGAATGAATGTTCCCTGTTTAATTAAAAAGTGCATATTATCCACTTAGCTAGAGGTATGGGCTTGTTTGTTCCTTACCCATCATTGCTGGAATGTTCTATTGACTGGCTTGATCTTATGCACCCAACTAGAGTTGCTATGAGCTCATGGGTTCAGAGGTCCTGTCAGGTCCAGATGACACTGTTCTTCTCTAGTTCTCCCTTAACTCTGGTTTTAATAATATTTCTGACCCTTATCAAGCTGTTTTCTGAACTTGGAGTGTGATATAGATGGTTGACAGTTGATAGTTGTTAGGTAAGGGAGATTCAATTTTCTTTAGGAGTGTGGTCCTAGGAGAATAGGTTGATTATGCACCAATGAACGTCCCCACATACATGAGTTTATGGGAAGCACTAATTGAACTCAATAGGTTGGTAAAGAATAATAAAGAGGACTTGAAGATGGGAGGGAGGTTTTGGGAGAATACAGAAGTAGTTGGAGGAAGACAGTAGTGAATTAATATGATTGCATATATTATACACAGTGATTTTTGATTATTAAAAACTACATATTACAGTCACTGAAACTACCACATTGAATTATATTTTTATAAACTTTGCTGCTTTTTTACACTTTTATTTTTATTTCTGATTATTACATATATATGTTTATGTTTGTGTAGGGGTTTGTATACTTGAGTGTAGTGGCCATAGAGGTCAGAAGAGGGTGTCAGAGCTCTTGGAACTGTAGCTGCAGGCAGTTGTGAGCTACCTGGGAAATTAACTCAAATTTTCTGCATGAGTAGTGTGTACTCTTAACCAATAGGCATCTATCTCTCAAGCCCCCAAGCTAGCTGCTTTTAAAGTACAAATAAATTATTTCCCTTATATGCTTAATATAGGAAGTGCAATTAATTTAGAAAAATAATTTAATTTGTAAGTTAAATGGTGCCTACCTAATTCTGTTTCTGGTTGTTTTACTATAGCAATCTTCATTGTGCATTTTCTTATGTGTGCTTTGAAAACATAGGAGTTTAATGATTACATAATATATTATTCAATGGCTCACTTATTTTGTTTATATTATTGTTACTTTTATAGTGTATAGTCATTGTATATAGTTACGAGCTTCATAAAGACATTTTCTTTCATCTGTCATGTATTTTGAGCACATACACGGCCCATGACTTCTCTCTTCTCCAGTTCCATACATTTTCTAGCAAAGGGCAAAATTTCACTCTTCTTTTTGACTTGCCACAGACCTAGGGTCCTTTAATGTGCCCTAGCTGTTGACCTTGGGTGAAACTTTCCTGGGAAGTTATTTGCAATCATTGTCACCCCAGGATCTTAACTTTGAAAACATTTGCATTTTCACTAGTTAGAGCCTTTGATGGGTGGAGTCTTACCCTCAGGGCAACTTTCTATTGGTTCCAGTGTGGACCTGAGATTTCTTTTTAAAGAAATTCTCTTTAACAATTATAGGTACTTTCCCTGCACTATCTGGTCTGCAACTTTCAATTTTCTTCTTCAAATCCCTATACTTTTCTCCGTAGCCTCCTTCTCTCTGGTGTTTTCCTGTCCTTTTCCTTTTTATTTATATTGTGGATGATATGATTTTCTCATAATATTTTCTTTCATCCAAGTACTTACCAGGACTGACTTTGCTTAGCTGTTCTTTTTTTTTTCAATTTAATTTTATTTATTTATTTATTTATTTTTCGAAAAGGAGAGAAAAATAAAAAACAAGTTTCCACCTCCTCCCAGCATCCCATTTCCCTCCACCTCCTCCCACCTTTCGCCCCCTCCTCCCGCCCTTCTCCCCCTCCCACCACTCCTCTCCCCCTCCCTCTCCAGTCCAAAGAGCAGTCAGGGTTCCCTGCCTGTGGTAAGTCCTAGGTCCTCCCCCCTCTGTCCATATCTAGGAAGGTGAACATCCAAACTGGCTAGGCTCCCACAAAGCCAGCACATTAAGTAGGATCAAAACCCCGTGCCATTGTCCTTGGCGTCTCATCAGCCCTCATTGTTCGCCATGTTCAGAGAGTCCAGTTTTATCCCATGCTTTTTCAGTCACAGTCCAGCTGGCCTTGGTGAGCTCCCAGTAGATCAGCTCCACTGTCTCAGTGGGTGGGTGCACCCCTCATGGTCCCGACTTCTTTGCTCATGTTCTCCCTCCTTCTGCTCCTCATTGGGACCTTGGGAGCTCAGTCCAGTGCTCCAGTGTGGGTCTCTGTCTCTATCTCCACCCATCACCAGATGAAGGTTCTATGATGATATGCAAGATATTTGTCAGTATTGCTCTAGGATAGGGTCATTTCAGGTTCCCTATCCTCAGCTGCCCAAGGAACTAACTGGGGACCTCAGCTTGGGCACCTGGGAGCCCCTCTAGGGTCAAGTCTCTTGCCCACCCTAAAGTGGCTCCCTTAACTAAGAATTGTGCTTCCGTGCTCCCCTATCCAACCTTCCTTTATCCCAATCCTCCTGTTTCCCCAAGTCCCCCCTTCCTTCCCTTCTACCTTTTCTCTCCCCATCTCCCCTTACCCCCATCCCATCCCACCCCCAAGATCCCAATTTTCTCCCCGGCAATTTTGTCTACTTCCCTTAGCCAAGAGGATAACTATATGTTTTTCCTTGGGTTCACCTTCTTACTTAGCTTCTTTAGGTTCACCTATTGTAGACTCCATGACCCTTATTTATGGCTAGAAACCAATTATGAGTGAGTACATCCCATGTTCATCTTTTTGGGTCTGGGATATCTCACTCAGGATAGTGTTTTCTATTTCCATCCATTTGCATGCAAAATTCGAGAAGTCATTGTTTTTTACCGCAGCGTAGTACTCTAGTGTGTATATATTCCATACTTTCTTCATCCATTCTTCCATTGAAGGGCATCTAGGTTGTTTCCAGGTTCTGGCTATTACAAATAATACTGCTATGAACATAGTTGAACAAATGCTTTTGTCATATGATAGAGCATCTCTTGGGTAGATTCCCAAGAGTGGTATTGCTGGGTCTAGCGGTAGGTTGATCCCGAATTTCCTGAGAAACCGAAACACTGACTTCCATAGTGGTTGCACAAGATTGCATTCCCACCAGCAATGGATGAGGGTACCCCTTCCTCCACAGCCTCTCCAGCAAAGGCTATCCTTGGTGTTTTTGACTTTAGCCATTCTGACAGGTGTAAGATGATATCTCAAAGTTGTTTTGATTTGCATTTCCCTGATTGCTAAGGAAGTTGAGCATGACCTTAAGTGTCTTTTGGCCATTTGAACTTCTTCTGTTGAGAATTCTCTGTTCAGTTCAGTGCCCCATTTTTTAATTGGGTTAATTAGCATTTTAAAGTCTAGTTTCTTGAGTTCTCTATATATTTTGGAGATCAGACCTTTGTCTGTTGCGGGGTTGGTGAAGATCTTCTCCCAGTCAGTAGGTTGCCTTTGTGTCTTAGTGACATTGTCCTTTGCATTACAGAAGCTTCTCAGTTTAAGTAGGTCCCATTTATTCAATGTTGCCCTTTATGTCTGTGCTTCTGGGGTTATACATAGGAAGCGATCTCCTGTGCCCATCTGTTGTAGGGTATTTCCCACTTTCCCTTCTATCAGGTTCAGTGTGTTCGGGCTGATATTGAGGTCTTTAATCCATTTGGACTTGAGTTTTGTGCATGGTGAGAGATATGGGTCTATTTTCATTCTTCTACAGGTTGACATCCAGTTGTGCCAGCACCATTTGTTGAAGATGCTTTCTTTCTTCCATTGTATACTTTTAGCTCCTTTATCAAAAATGAGGTGTTCATAGGTTTGTGGGATAAAATTCGGGTCTTCTATATGATTCCATTGGTCGACTTCTCTGTTTTTATGCCAGTACCACACTGTTTTCATTACTGTAGCTCTGTAATGGAGTTTGAAGTCAGGGATGGTAATGCCTCCAGAAGATCCTTTATTGTATAGGATTGTTTTGGCTATCCTGGGTTTTTTGTTTTTCCATATAAAGTTGATTATTGTCCTCTCCAGATCTGTGAAGAATTTTGATGGGATCTTGATGGGGATTGCATTGAATCTATAAATTGCCTTAGGTAGAATTGCCATTTTTACTATGTTGATCCTCCCAATCCAAGAGCAAGGGAGGTACCTCCATTTTCTGGTATACTCCTCAGTTTCTTTCTTCAATGCCTTAAAGTTCTTGTCAAATAGATCTTTCACTTCCTTGGTTAGAGTTACCCCAAGATATTTTATGCTGTTTGTGGCTATCGTGAAAGGTGAAGCTTCTCTGATTTCCCTCTCTGCTTCCATATTCTTTGTTTATAAGAGGGCGACTGATTTTTTGGAGTTGATCTTGTATCCTGCCACATTACTAAAGCTGTTTATCAGCTGTAAATGTTCTTTGGTGGAGTTTTGGGGGTTGCTTATGTACACTATCATATCATCTGCAAATAACGAAAGTTTAACTTCTTCCTTTCCAATTCGAATCCCCTTGATCCCATTATGTTGTCTTATTGCTATTGCTAGAACTTCAAGCACTATATTGAAGAGGTATGGCGAGAGTGGACAGCCTTGTCGTGTTCCTGAGTTAAGCAGGATGGGTTTGAGTTTCTCTCCGTTTAATTTGATGTTATGCTTCGCTGTTCTTAAAAGTTCTTAAAAGTAATTTGCAAACACCATTTCATTTTTTAAATTATTTCAGATTGCATAGTATTAGCTAGAATTTAGTATATGTTTCAAGGCTTTTTATATAAAAATTCATATAATGAAAAATCAAACTGCTATATACATACTTGTTGAATTTTGACAAATGCATTGTCCTAGCTAGAGTTACTATTGCTGTGATAAAACACCATGACAAGTAGTAATTTGGGAAGAAAGGCTTTATTTGGTTTATACTCCCTTCTCACAGCCCATCATAGAAGAAACTCAGGACAGGAAATCAAACAAGGCAGGAATCTGTAAACAGAAACTGAAGCAGTCAAAGAATACAGCTTACTGGCATCCTCACTGTGTCTTGCTCAGTCTGCATTCTTATACAGCCTAGGACCACCTACCTTCCCAGTGGTGGCTCCATCTACAGTGGTCGTAGCCCTCCCACATCAATCACTTAATTAATAAATTAATTAATAAAATACCCTACATGTTATCTACAGTCCACTTTTATCGAGGCATTATCTCAATGGAGGTTCTCACCTATCTAGTGACTCTATCTTGTGTTTAGTTGACATAAAACTAGCCAACACATCCATCTATCTATGAAACTCAATTGCTTAGCAAGATATATCATCATGGTCATTAACTTAGAAAGTTTTCCCATTACTTTTCTCACCAGTGTCTATTCTCAGCTTCCTCCAGAGAAAAGCAACTGCCTGAATTTTTTTTCTAATGTAGATTTTTAACTTTTCTGGAATTTCATATAAATGGAGTTTCACAGTGACCCAGATTTTGTAAAGTCTGTATATGTTCAGAACAGGTACAATTTTTATTTTCCCTACACTTCAGTCATGCTTAGGTGAATGTAAGAAAACAAAACCATGGATTTGGGGTGTCAACTACTGTTCATCAGTGTTTATCCCTAGGCTGCCTCAGTGTGAGATAATTAGTAATAGTCTTGTAAAATTCTTTTAAGAAATGTACTCATTATTCTTCAGTAGATGTATTTGTCAACTCTCAAGCTTTTCAAATTACTTGAGATGCTTTGGTATTGCATCTAAATTCATTTCATAAAAACTAAGTGGTCCTGGACCTTGAGTGTCTGTGAGTTCTTTTAATTGAATATGATTTTTCTTTATACTCATATTTCATTGTTTAAATGAGCCTATGTACTCTTGGTAGTAAAGTTTTTAGGTGATATTTTCCTGATTATTTGGTAGATTATTTCCAGAAATATTCATTATATTCATTACTCTTTGTGGCCTCATATAAGCTCAGACAGTCGGATGATTTAATACTTTTTCCTTTTATTTATCCTTGAACAAGATTAGCTAAATATAATCACACTGGCTTACTAGATGAAGTCTGTGGATCTTTTTCACTACATGATTTAGAGATCCAGAGGGTGACTGGGTAGTGTCAGTGCAATCCCCAGCTGCTAGCAGATACTCATGGAAATGTATGAGGAAGAAGTTACTTCTGCAACTGTGTGGTCTCATCATTGGATCTGATGCGGCACTGAGAAAATCCACAAGTACCATTCTTGAGGAATCAATTTTGGAGAATGTTTTGATTCATTTAGTGTAGCCCCTTCTCAGAATGTGCACTCTTTGGTCCAAGAATAAAGTTCTGACTTTATAACCTCGGTGACTGGTGACGTGTCCAACCTATAGTAAGAATGCATTAAAACTGAGCCAGGAGTCACATAAGGAGCTGGGATGGATCTTTTTTGTCTTAGTGTCATCCCCTTTCTGGGATAAACTACTTAAAAAACACAACTTAGAAGGGAAAAACTTCCTTTTAGCTCACAGTTTACTGACCTTCATTGCAGGGATGTCAAGGTGGCAGGAGCTGGAAACAGCTAGCTGCTTCTGTAGCCAAGAGCAAAGAGAGTGAATATATACACCAGCTTATTTATTCATTTCATATAAGTTAGGATTCCCTATTCAGAGATTGGAGGTAACCATAGTGTGTGTGTGTGTGTGTGTGTGTGTGTGTGTGTGTGTGGTGGGAGGAGGTTCCCACCTCACTCAATTAATGCGGTTAGCATAATCCTCGACAGACATGCTAGGGGCCAACTTGATCTAGAATATCCCTCATTGAGACTCCATTCTATGTGATTCTAGATTTTGTCAAATTGACTATTAAAACCAGTGATCACAGGGATTAATAATGCTAAAACTAAAACTGTCACTGTATCTGCTACTATCTCTGACTGTCTCTTTCTCTTTCTTATTTTGTTAATGAGTTATTATAGGAACGCACTCTTATGGCATTTTTAAAATAGAAATGTGTAAAACAATGATTATTTTTTAAAAAGAGAATAGCTTCTTTAGAAGTCATTAGAACAATACAATGATTTAAATGTCAAACTTCTGTGATACCTGAAGTTCCTTGTGGTGATGTAGAAACAAATACATCCCTATGTTGCTGTATAAGGAAATCTATTGTTAACTGTAATAATACTATAGCATTACTAAGGGCTATAAAGATGTTGTGGATAACACCAAAGGGAAAACCAGAAAAGATTTCAGTTTTTTTTTTTTTTGAGCCTGTGAACCTGAGTATGTTTATGTTGATTCACCATGTAAAAGGTGACAATCTGTCTGTATCTCAGAGTCCAGCTTATTCCTAGTGAGTGACTGACCTGGAACTAGCACCCACATAATTAGTTTGGATTTGCTTGGACCCCTTCCACATTCATGTTATTTCACTTGACAGACTTCTGGAATGCTAGAGAGAAATCTTTAGATCCTGAACTCCATTTGCCCCGAGGAACAGTTACTGAAGTACTAAGCAGACACTGTGATTGCTGTGTACAGATTGTTTTCCTTCTTCAGTCCTTCAGTAGGATATAGTGCTGGGTGCTCAGGAGTGACCTCATGGAAGTAAATCATTGTATGATTTCTTTCTTTCAGGTCTCTTGTTTGGTATCTTGTGTACCTCCATGGCTGTGGTTGCATCCTTCATGGGGAGTGTTGTGCAGGTAATGGAAGAGGGAAATGACATTTGATTTCACAGCAAACTTTCCCATGTTTTCCTTTGTAATTAATATCTTGACTATTACTCTAAGGCCCAATATTAATATTTATGGACACTAGATCCAAACAAAACATACTTGAAAATTTCAACCAAAATTGCTTTCAGAAGTTGAAAGCAGTAAGAGGATGACTTGCAATGGGTTTATTCTCTCAGTGCATAAAACATGTGTTCTCTCAATCTTTCTGTCTTCTGAACCATTGCTTACTTTATTTGTTTTTATGTTATCAGTTGCTACAAAAACAAAAACAAAAGCCATCCAATTTGGATATACTGTGAGTCACTGATGAACTGTTTCTTGAGAGAGAGATTTTTGCATTTCAAGTCATTTGTAATTAAAGTGTGACAGACTCCAGAGAGGGTCAGGACAACCCCAGTGACCTATGGAAAGAAGCAATACCTATATAGAGTGAGATAAGATAGTTGGACTCATCCCCCTGTCCTTGTTCAGCTGAAAATTCTGGCTCAACTGACTTCATTGGATTGAAGTCTATGCCACATAGTCACACAATATAGATGCTGGCAGGCTAGAAACTCCCATCTTGTCCTTCAGGTGAGGTGAGTAGCTCTAAGGCAGTAGTTCTCAACCTGTGGGTTGTGACCCCTTTGGCACCCCTCCATCCCCCAAAATATTTACATTACAATCCATAACCATAGCAGTTATGAAGCAGCAATGAAAATAATTTTGTGGCTGGGGGGTCACCACAACATGAAGAACTGAATTAAAGGTCACAGCACTAGCAAGGTGGAGAACCACCACTCTATGGTGATCCATTCACTTCTTTCGCCACATTTGAGTAAATAAAAACAATTTTAATTCTTCTATTATTTTCACTATAAAGCCACTCCTATGTTATATTTAGTAAATCAATATACAGATTCTAATTTTATATATGAAAACAGACAAAAAATAAGTCTCACAAGTGTGAATGATAGAACCATTGTTAATTTCTTTTTCACAAAACCACAATATATGTATGGCATGTATTTGTGGGTGATACCAGTGGCCACAGTTCTCAGTTTCATAAAAGGTAAATAAATTTTTCCTAAATGGTTGTTTTGGCTTGCTGTTTTCTTTCTTTGTTTGTTTTTGAAGTCATATTGTACTGTTTCATGTAAGAATTTAAAAAGTGTGTCTTAAAAACTTTCAGCCTATAAAATGTTCCAAGGGATACAATTCCCACAGTCAGTTCCCATGTGAAAAACGCTAAGCACATGTGTTCCCTTCCCTAAGATCAAGCGCATAGCAGTGTCCTGAAGGCTGTGGGAAGTCCGACAAACTTGAAATGGTGTGCTTGAGGATTTGTGGAGGGATCAGATGAGAGTAGGAAAGCTCTTTCTGTGAGGAGGGCCATGGAGAGCTTCCTGGGGGCACTGTTGATTTGTGGCTCTTTGCTTTTCTGTTTTTGGATCTATTGTTCATTTCTTATGCTCCACATTCTGACATTCACTTATGTCACATTTGAACTAAGTAAACATGAAAAATTTAGAAAGATACTGAAACTAAGGAAGTAAAGATAAGAATTATTATGATTAAAATTCAACAGTCTTTAAGAGCCCTGAGAGTTACAATGGTGCAAGGTGTCTTTCTACACAATATGATGTTGCCCACCTGGAATTCTGCTAAGGGGTAGAACAATTTGAGGACATGTTTTTATTTCAACTCTCTGGCATTCAGAAGTTATGCTACAGAAATCAAAGCTCCCTAAAAGGGCACAGCACTGACAAATACAGTTAGAGTAGGGGACAGTTCAGGTCCACTCCTAATACAGGACACAATACTCAAACACGTCTCTGAATTTCTTTTGGAGTGCACCTTAAGTCTTCACCAGAAAACAGTTCAGGAAGTGGTTATGATGAGATCCTTTCTTATATTTTAAGCAAGCCATGTACAGTGCAGCTAAATGCCATTCCCAAGTCATCAGCAGCTTCAGTCCTAAAGCACAAACTCCTGGACTCTGTCCTCTATTTATAGGAGAAGCTCAGATGGGTTCTAGGCATTGAAGTAGAACCCAAGTTAGACAAGCTTTGAGCTCGCCTCCAATAACAGATGCAAAATGACAACAAAAAGAAGGTAAAAATGAAAGTTGCTTGTCATTGTAGACTACAAAATCATGCACAGAGCATGTTAATATATATTGTAAAAACTGAAACTCTTGGATTGATTTTCTGTTGCTTTTTGCTCTGAGGCATAAGACATTGCAAGTTTGTCTTTATTCCACTACCCCTGCTTCAAAGGGAGATAAATGTCTTTAGTATTTTATTGAATATTCTCATGATACCATGTAATAACCTTCAAAATGCAACTGCCACACCAATGATGAATTAATTCTACCACCAGCAAAGGAGTGAAACAAATATTAAATAACTGAAGTCAGGGGAAAAGCAACTTAATTGCACATGGCCCTGTCTTATCAATTATGTAGTAGCGGTTGAATTCTTTGAAGATGAACCTGAAAAAGCAATCTGTTTAAGTTAGGACTTTATTGCTGTGAAGCGAAACCAAGACCACAGCAACCCTTATAATAGAAAACATTTAATTGGACTGGCTTACGGTTCAGAGGTTTAGTCCATTATAGACATGACAGGAAGCATGGTAGCATACATACAACATGGTGTTGGAGAAGGAGCCTATAGTTCAACATCTGGATCCACAGATATCAGGAAAAGAGAATATCATATTTGGCATAGCTCAGGCTTCTAAAACTTCAAAGCCCATGCCCTAATGACACCCCTCCTCCAACAAAGTCACACCTACAACAACAAGGCCACACCTCCTAATAGTGCCACCTCCTTTGGGTCTCTGAGAGCCATTTTTATTCAGGCCACCACACAATCATAATGATATATTATAGCTCATATCTCTGGAAAAGACTTTATATTATAACTGAAAGAAATGAGAAGATTCCTTTGCCTTGTATGGTAAATGAAAATAGACTTGAATGTGTTTCTGTTAGCCCCAAGCTTCTTTTCTACAAATTTTGGTTACTGTTCCTGAACGGTGAGTGTGAGGATTAGATGAGCCAGTGTCTGGAGTTGCCAGGTGGATCTTCCTGACCGACTGACACATGGGCGACATCTGGCAGACAAACCTTTATAAGATCTTGGGAGCATTCTAAAGCTTGGCTCCTGATGTAATATGCCCATGCTGCTTACACAGATATAGAAAGTGCTGCAGGGAAAGTAGTTTTATGTGTGTTGCACATGCATGTGTTCATGTATACACTCTCATTCATCCAGTGAATTTGTATTCCCAGCTCTTAGAAGGTCTCAGAGTCTTCACGCTGAAAACACACCTTTTCAGTCTTGCCAAACTGCTATTTTTCTCTTATGTTACCCATACACTTACATGTGCACAGCTATAGAGACTTCAGGAAGCCTGTCTTTACTTATGTTTATACTATAGATATTCCATAAACTCTAAGCCAGTTCATTTGGATCAGTCATTTAAGGGATAATTGATATTGAAATGCTTTATTAAACAATTTCTCAGTATCCAAAAGAAATGGATCCATAAATGTAAAAAGAAATAAAAAGGAGGATGTATGGGGTTCTTGGTGGCCTCTCTAAAGTTTTCCAAATACTGAAAAATTCTTCATTGCCTCAGAAGTGGTTTGGGTAGGGTAGCAAGGGTTGGATCTAGATAATTGCTACAATCTAAATGATGGAAAATTTCAAACCAAGTTAAAGAGCTGATGAGCCACTTAGGATATGACAAATAAGATATAGATGCATTGATCCAGTAAATTCCTTAACCAACAAACAAAATAATGTCTATGGTGCTGGAAATTAGACCCAGGGATTGTGCATGTTAGGCAAGTGAAAAGAAAAAAAAGTCCTTTTGGTGTTTTAACAAGTTAAAGTAGCTCCAATAAAGGCAAGTTACCTGGATTGATATTTTCTAAGCATATGCATAGAGATATGGACATTTAATTGTATATATATACACACACATGCACACATATACATACATAGCTTTTTTTAAAGGAAAATACATGGTTAATAAATGGAGCTCAAGTTCATTCAAGGTTCAAGGAAGGAACGGGGATGTCAGGGTAAGCTACAGAGGCAGTGGAATTGTTAGGCTTATCTGGTTTGCTTTTTTCTACAGGCTGCCCTCAGCATCCTTGGCATGTGTGGGGGACCAATGCTAGGTTTGTTCACTCTTGGTATCGTGTTCCCTTTTGTGAACTGGAAGGTAAGGATTATGTAGTTTTCTCCAAATCAAGTTCTTTTCATTTTCTATCTCTTTTCACCTCTGCTTGGGAAAGCTCTTTGTTTTTGCCAGAAAAAAAATCCAAAGAATTCATGTTATCTGTATTTCTATTTTACAAACACACACATATACATAGGTATGAACTTAAATGGTACCTAGGCCCTCCTATATAAGATGACACTGAAACTTGTTTACAAGCAAAAGACAAATAAAGGAGAGGCAGCCTTTAATGGTCATATGCTGAATGATTAATACATAGAATGGACAAGCCAGCAATACTATTACCTCTGGTACTTCCTTTGCTATGACTTCAGATAGATGTAGGTAGACTCTGTGGTATGTAGACATCAGAAGAAAATTTGTTATTGTAAGTTTTATTCTAAAACCATTTAGAATTTTTACTTTCAATCTGTAGAAATTCTTCTGTAATCTTATAGGAGAACAAAGTCAAAATCACTTCTGTAGTATTTAGGTTTATGAAAATATTATGTTGTTCAATTATAATTTGAGGTAACACCTAGTCACTAAAACCAAACAGTCAAAAGACTGTATCTATTCACTAACTATGCAAGTTCTTAGTAGAAAACAATATAATGACAACAGTAATAGACATGCCAATGTGGACAGGGAAGGACCACAAGGCCTCAACTAGTGAGAGTGGGAGAAGTTGCCATTCCCAGGAAAAAGCAAACCAATTGGTGGTTAGTCGACATTGAAAGCGTAGACAAGCAAGAATCTCTTTTAATTCATGGAACAGCAGTCAGACTTTCTGTACATTATCTGTCAATAAAAAATAACTACATTGCTTAAAGAGTTCCATAGCTTCTGAAACTCACTAGATATATTATGGTTTCACCTTATTTTCAAATAAAAAGAAGGAACAAATCAAAGGCAGAAAAAAATTTACTCAAGGTGCAACTCACTTAAAAATCATTTCATAGGACTGGAGGTTATGATTCAGTGACAAAGAACGTGCCTAGCATGCACAAGACCCTAGAATTCATACCTAGCACTTAAAATAAGTGAATGAATAAGTAATTAAACAAGTAAGTAAATATATCTGCTTTCTGAATGTTGAAATGAAGACAGTTTGAGGTGCTTCCAGTGTGCATGGCCAAGATTTGAGATGAACAATTCTGCAGTACATTACACCTTATACCAATATTTTTGCAAAAAAGCTTTGTTTAATTTCTTATTATGTTCTCTTTTTCTCCAAGGGTGCACTAGGAGGCCTCATTGCTGGAATCACATTGTCATTTTGGGTGGCCATCGGGTCTTTTATTTACCCTGCACCAGTGTCTAAGACATTACCCTTACCTCTATCAATAGAACAGTGTGTCCAAACAAATATAACAGCAACAGTAGGTCCACAGCTTTCCAGCAGGTATGTTGACTTTAAAAATTGTACCAAGTCCCAAAGTAGGTCAAGGTAGACCTCTGTCAGAGATAATTTGATGAGCTAGTCCTTGATCATCTGGAAGTGCTTGGCAAAGACAGGTAATGTGCAAGGCTAAACAGAGTTCTGCAGATCGCGCTTCCTCTGCCTTTAGGTAGACAAGAGTTTAAATACTATCTTGGAGGATTGAAGAACAGATCAGGAGTCATGATCTTAGTGGAAGGTATATGAAGGCTGCATTTTTGTGTCATCTCTAAATTTCTGCTGCTATTCCATAAATAGCACTGAAAAGTCCCTTTTGAGATTTTTTGTTAGTTCATACACATAGACAAGGGTCTGTCACCTTCTTTCCAGTGACTCTGGAGTTAATTAACAATTGAATAGTAAATAAATGAAAAGGAATGAAAGACATTGCCCTCATTGAAAAATTTCTCTATCTATCCATCTGTCTGTCTGTCTTTCTGTCTATCTGTCTTTCTATCTCTTTCTATATATGTAAATCTGGGATGAAAAGAAAAGCTAGCTCCTAATTTTTTTCATTAAAGAATCAAGTATTAAGTTTGGAGTTTTAAGGGATGCCAGAACCCAGAGTGTGCAGCGAAGCAATTGTATCCTAAGTCATGAGTTTTTATTTTTGAATGATGAACAGAGTTGATGCCCTGTGCTGTTTTTCTCCACAGACCTGCCCTTGCTGACACATGGTACTCACTCTCCTACCTTTACTTTAGTGCTGTGGGCTTTCTGGGATGTGTAGCTGCTGGGCTAATCATCAGCTTCCTGACAGGTGGGTTATCTGGAGTCCTCTCTTTGGGGGGTTATTTCATGAAGTTGTTGACTACATGGTAGCCTCACAGATTTGCTTCTGAGTCTACCACAAAAAGTCCTCTTCTCTAAGAGATTCATATACTGTCTCAAGTTTCTAAGTTGATCTTTTTCTCTGTCTCTCTCTGTCTGTCCCGCCCTCTCTTGTTGTATGTTTGTCTGTCTGTCTGTGTGTCTGTTTAACAATCAGAAAATAGGTAAGGTATTTTGAAACATATTCTACCATCATACCTGTGTATAAAAGTTCTTTGTAGCATCAGTTATAAAGGAAGATTAACATTAAGTGTTTTTCACCTGACTTCCAACGTAATCCTATCTTTGTAGGGTTTTAATGTAGGGCTTTGAAGTTTGTGTACTGTGCATGGTGACTACAATGGGGAAAAGTAAGGGATGAAGTATATATAAATTATGCTTTACACTGTTCTCATAGGGTCAATACCTTGGCACAAAATTGCTTTTCTTTGTACGAAAGGGAACCAAAGTTGCAATAAAAGTATTGATAGTAGGTGCTGGAGAGATAGATGAAGTGATTATAAGCAAAGGTTGCTCTTCCAGAGGACCCAAGTTCAATTCCCAGCACCCACACTGCAGCTCACTAATGTCTATAACTTCAGTTCTAGAATATCTGATATCCTTTTCTGGCCTCTATGGGAATACATAAACATTAATGCAGATAAATATCTATGGGTTCGTTTTGAATTAAATTCTTTGATGCAGAATATAAAGTTCCTTATCAACAATATATGAGTCAAATATACCTATTCTATGGAAGGCACTAATTAACAAATATCAATTTCATTAGAATTCTATTAAGTAAAACATTTTTTGACAGACTGATATAATACTGTGGAACATGTTATTTGAACTTCAAAATATTGGACAGGCACAAAATTTTAGTGAGACATAACATCAGTCTCATAGAAGGAATCTAATAAATGTGTTTAACTCTTACAATAATGCTTCTTCCAGGGACCTCTGGATGGATTGGCTCTCATCCTTACCTGCATTCTGTGGGACAGGATATTTGCACTAGTTTGACTGGACAGAAAATTTGCAAAAATTTCAGAATGATGGCCTCATTAGCTTTTACATCGTAGTAAAAATATCAGTCTGACTTGTTCCTCAGTAGGATTTAAAGGGATGGAACTGGTATTTTTAAAGATCAGAAATGAAATGTGAGGACAGTCTAGATTGACTGGCAGGACCTTAGAGAAGGACAGTCTAGATAGACTGGCAGGACTGTAGAAGATGCTGATGCTGTGATGAAAGAGAAAAAAAACAATAAAAATGATGTTTCTAATTTTATAAATACCAGCATAGATGATTCTGTAAATATATAACAGATAAAACTGAGGAAGAAAGTATACTTCCTACATATTTACTACTAGAGGAATATTTTCAAATGAATATGTTATTACCATTTAACTTTATAGTCCTGAACTTTCTTTTTATTAATTTAATTATTTATTAAAAGTTTCCACCTCCTCCCATTTACCTCCCACTCCCTCCTCTCCCTCTCCCCGTCCCTCTCCAGTCCTAAGAGAAGTCAGGGTACCCTGCCCTGTTGGAATTTTGTTGGGATTTTGATGGGGATTGCATTGTATCTATAGATTGCTTTTGGTAGAATTGCCATTTTTATTATGTTGATCCTCCCAATCCAAGAGCATGGAAGATCCTTTTATTTTCTGGTTTTCTCTTTAATTTCTTTCTTCACAGACTTAAAGTTCTTGTCAAATAGATCTTTCACTTCCTTGGTTAGAGTTACCCCAAGATACTTTATTCTATTTGTGGCTATCATGAAAGGTGATGTTTCTCTGATTTCCCTCTCTGCTTCTTTGTTCTTTGTGTATTGGAGGGCTACTGATTTTTTGGAGTTGATCTTGTAACCTGCTACATTACTAAAGGTGTTTATCAGCTGTAAGAGTTCTTTGGTAGAGTTTTTGGGGTCGCTTATGTACATTATCATATCATCTGCAAATAATGAAAGTTTAACTTCTTCCTTTCCAATTTGAATCCCCTTGATTTCCTTATGTTGTCTTATTTCTGTTGCTAAAACTTCAAGCGCTATATTGAAGAGGTATGGAGAGAGTGGACAGCTTTGTCTTGTTCCTGATTTTAGTGGAATGGCTTTAAGTTTCTTTCCATTTAATTTGATGTTAGCTGTCAGCTTGTTGTATATTGCTTTTATTTTATTTAGGAATGAACCTCGTATCCCTAGTCTCTCCAAAACCTTTATCAAAAGGCGTGTTGAATTTTATCAAATGCTTTTTCAGCCTCTAATGAAGTGTTCATATGGTTTTTTTTTTCTTTCAGTTTATTTATATTATGGATTACATTGATAGATTTTCATGTTGAACCAGCCCTGCATCTCTGGGATGAAGCCTATTTGATCATAATAGATATTTTTTATGTGTTTTTGGATTTGGTTTCCAAGTATTTTATTGAGAATTTTTGCATCGATGTGCATGAGTGAGATTGGCCTGTAATTCTCTTTCTTGGTTGAGTCATTGTGTAGTTTTGGTATCAGGGTAACTGTAGCTTCATAAAAGGAGTTTGACAATGACTCTTCTGTTTCTATTTTGTGAAACACATTAAGGAGTATAGGTATCAGCTCTTCTTGGAAGTTCTGTTAGAATTCTGCATTGAAACCATCTGGTCCTGCGCCTTTTCTTGGTAGGGGGGTTTTTGATGACAGCTTCTAATTCCTCGTGACTTACAGGTCTATTTAAATTGTTCACCTAGTCGTGGTTTAATTTTGGTATATGGTACTTATCTAAAAAAATGTCAATTTCTTTCACATTTTCCAATTTTGTGGCATACAAGCTTTTGTAGTAAGATCTAATGATTCTCCAAATTTCCTCTATGACTGTGGTTTTGTCCCCCTTTTCATTTCTGATCTTGTTAATTTGTGTATTCTCTCTCTGCCGTTTGATTAGTTTGGATAGGGGTTTGTCAATCTTGTTGATTTTCTCCAAGAACCAGCTTTTTTTCTTTGCTGTGACTGATTCTCTGGGTGGATCTCCTCAGTGCATGAATAGGAACTGTTTCTGGGCCAAGGACCTCACAGACAATAGGGCAGGCTCGGGGGAGGCAGGGTCGTGTGGAACAAAGAAGCCCATGCTGCAGGAGATAGAAAGGCCCTCTGCTCTGTTTCCAGACCATCTGTCCCACCCTGGGATGGCACACACTCACCTGTCTGGATGGATCTCCTCAGCACAGCAACATGGACTCCTGGAAGTCCAAGGACCCTACAGACAAAAGGGCAAACTTGAGGGGAGGTCAGGGTCATGAGTAACAAAGAAGCCCCTGAAGCAAGAGTTGGAGGTGCCCTGCACTCCCCTCCGGCTGGGTGGGTGCACACTCACCCCTCTGGGTGGATAGCCTCAGTGCAGGAGTAGGAACTGTTCCTGGGCCAAGGACTTCTCAGACAATAGGGCAGGCTTTGGGGAGGCAGGGTCATGTGTAACAAAGAAGCCCCTGCAGCAGGAGCTTGAGGGGCCCTGTGCTCCATTCCCTGGATGGCACACACTCACCCATCTGGATGGATCTCCTCAGCACAGGAACAGGGACTCCTGGAAGTCCAAGGACCTTACAAACAAAAGGGCGAACTTGGGTGGGGGGCAGGTGGTGTGGAACAAAGAAGCCCCTGCAGCAGGAGCTGGAGGTGCCCTGCACTCCCTTCTGGGGACCTTCCGGCCGGGTGGGCCTGAACTTTCTTGACCTGACAACTTTTGAATTTATAACTTCTAACTCTCAACTCATTCAACAGTCTACCGATTTCTATAGATTCACCTCTGAAGCTTGACTTTTGGCTTTGTTAAGAAATAACCCATCCTCAAGTTGATATGCTTATGCTGAAATGGAAAGCCTGCAGGGCTGAAGCCATTTAATCCATTTCCCTTTTCTTAATAGGCAAGCAAAGAGGCGAAGATGTGGATCCACTTTTAATAAGACCAGTTTGCAATCTATTTTGCTTTTGGTCTAAGAAATGCAAAACTCTGTGCTGGTGTGGAGTTCAGCATGAGCAGAAAACAGAGCAGGTGAGTCGACGCATGAGCTTCTTTTATTATTATTATTATTATTATTATTGAGAAAAGGAGAAATAAAAAACAAGTTTCCACCTCCTCCCAGCCTCCCATTTCCCTCCCCCTCCTCCCACCCTTCTCCCCCTCCTCCCACCCTTCTCCCCCTCCTCCCACCCTTCTCCCCCTCCCCCCACTCCTCTCCCCCTCCCTCTCCAGTCCAAAGAGCAGTCAGGGTTCCCTGCCCTGTGGTAAGTCCTAGGTCCTCCCCCCTCCGTCCATATCTAGGAAGGTGAACATCCAAACTGGCTAGGCTCCCACCAAGCCAGCACATTAAGCAGGATCAAAACCCCGTGCCATTGTCCTTTGCGTCTCATCAAGGAAAAACATATAGTTATCCTCTTGGCTGAGGGAAGTAGACAAAATTGCATGAGCTTCTTAAAACAGGCTTTGGCTTAGAGGGAGGGGAGCTCTTGTTCCACTCCACTACTGGAAGTGCCCTTCCGCTTCTGGGAGTGCACTTCCTCCCCCTCGCAACAGTTGAGAGGGAAAGGGCTGTAAGGATGGAAGGCAGTAAATGTCAACAGCTAGAAAGATAGAGATTTTGCCTCCAGAGTCCCAGAGCTGATGATCTTCTAAGTGCATGTATTGATAGGTAAATATGCTTCATGACTGGAAAGTTACACTGCAAGTGATTAGTTTCCAAAGAGTCTTTAATCCTGGAGAATTGAGTTCCAGGAAAGAAATAGAAAAATACAGTTTAGGAAAAGAATGAAATACCACACACAGTCCAATGTGATAGGTGAGATGATGAGTTTGAGAGTCGGCCTGCCTTGGGTCTACCCCCGGCTCAGAGTCTCATTTTCCTTTTGTTTAGCTTTCATTACTTGAGAGCTAAAGAAGAAGATAAAACAGAATGACATAGACACAACTTTCTAATTCTCTAGGATATTATATTAGTTATTTTTGCCTGTTATCTCTTACCAAAATTCCTGACAGACTGTCTCAAAGGAGGAGTTTTGGTTTGTTGTTTGTTTTGTTTTGGCATGGTTTTGGCACACCATTTCAAAGGGTTTATCCATGATTGCTTTGTTCCATGCATTTGGACAGATTAGGAGGTTAATGGGGACATATGAAAAAGGAGGCTGTTCATCTTGCAGTGGAAATGAAACAGAAGGAAAGGGAATATAGGCAGGAGTCTGAGAAACATAGTGCCCATAAGGAAAGCCTCTAGTGACTTCATTCTTTCAGCTGTGCCCCACTTCCTAGGTCACAATCTTTTTCACAGCACCACCAGCTGAAGTGAAACTAAGAAGCACTTGATATTCAAATCATAACAACTATAAATATTGGTGGAAAATTACAGTTAAAGATGGAACAAAATGCAACAAACTTGCTTAGCTTCTTTATGCCCCAGAAGTACATTTATGCTAGACCAATAGAGACTTCTGAGAGTTGCGTTCTCATCAGTCAGGACCTCTAATGAGCAGCTTGAGCTCTAAGTAAACTACACTGACTGACAATGGAGCAAGCGGAGGAACAACAGAAGAGCTAGGCAATATTGAGCCTCTTCAGGAGGGAGGTAGGATATGCTTTTGGATGTTTTGAACAGTGGGAGGAGTGTGAAAGCTGTTGAAGGAAAGTAGAAATGAATGCAAAGCTATCTTGTTCATCCTTCATAAACGTGCAGCAGGTACACAATATACCTTGAGTTGGTTTTAAACCTGTCAAGACTGCCTTTTAACACGTGTCTTTCCACATTCCTCAGGATTACCTTGACAGTGGCAATGCCAGGAAACAGGGGGTTGAATCTGCCCTACAGAATGGACTCAAGCAAGAAAGCCTGGCCCAGATTCCAGGCTACAACCCCGAGGACAAAAGCAACAGTGTGAAGGAGAAGACCACTCATTTCTAAGAAAATACATGCAACTGATAATACTCTCTCCCCCATCTCTTTCTCTCTCACACACACCAACCACACAAACACACATACACCACATACAACACACATATTTCATGTCACTTCTTCCTGTTGTAGAATTGTGTACAGAATATTTCAGAAATAAAGTTGTCCATTACCTATTTATACTGATAGAAATGATAAGACCATTTCTCAGGATGTTCTTTGGAAAGCCCCAAATTCAGAGGAGAAAAAAAATTAGCCAATGCCAGAAGTGCCTGATGCCATAACCAATTTAGAACGGAGTTGTATCATTATGCAAGGAGCCTTTGTTATTTCGTTTCCTGTCAGATTAAATCTCAGGCTTTGTTGCTTGTTTATAGGTTTATGTTTGGTTTTGGTGCTGAAAACTAAACACAGGGCCTTGTTCCTTCAATATACCTACCTGACTATTGACCCTAGTCTACATTTCAAAGTTTTAACAATCAAAATATTACGGTGGAGGTAGAGACAAAATATAAAGGGGAATCTGCATATTCAATCTTCTCTGACATGGCTGATACAACCATCATAATGTCATCTCCAACCACATGTCTTACACATATATAGACAGATAAATGTATTTATGCTATCCATGGGGCCACAGCTAGAACACTTAACTTCTGCTACTATCCTCACACTGCTTTCTTTATGTGTTTTGTTAGTGTTCCTTCTGCTAAAGCTGTTATGATTAAACTTTGAGGATAATTGTGTGATATGAGAAAAATCAGTCTTCCCAGTGGTAAACCTTACATAAATACACTATTAGCTTTGTGCTCTTTTAGAAGTGTTTCTTCATCATGTATATCACTTTAAAATAATAAATTCGGAGCTAGAAAGATGGCTCTGCAGTCGGGAGACATGTGGTAATTTCCCAAGCTTATGGATGCCTATAATTCCAGCTTCAGAGAATATGGTATTTGTGATTTTCATTGGCATTCACATCCGTGGGCACATAGCCACACAGACACACACAGACACACAGACACACACACACACACACACACACACACACACACCAACACATAGTAAAAAATTCAAACTTTTTTTTTTTTTAGTGAAAAAAACAAAAACCTCTGTGCTTGCTTACCCAGAAGTTGAGAGTCTAATGTCTAAGCTGAAGAAAAAGGAAAGCACCCTTTATAGGTGTGAGGGAAGCTTACATATTGTAAAGGAACCTTGCGAGGAGCTCACTATTCAGAGCAGAGATAATTAACCATGAAGTCTTACTCATTAGGCACAGAACCAATCCATGTCACATGTGCAAGCTTAAGTCACTGCATCAGATGTAAGCACTACGCAATTTTAATTCTGGAGAATAACTTCAAAACTCTGGAGGAGCGGGGATTACAATGCAAAAGGTTTCTTGGCAAATGAGGATTCAGTGAAACTCTGTTGGAAGAAGAAAATAAATTCTTATAAATGTTTATAGGATATGTTTGCATGCCTATGGGTGTGTTCATAATAACACACATGTGATTGATTTGGAAGCCATTTCAGGGTTGCAAACTTTCACATGGAATTTCACAAATGCAAAATATCTCAGATTTTTTCACTTTGCTAAAAGTTAAACTCAGGCTACCTCACTAAATAAATGTTTTCCTTATAGCTATATTTAAAATATCTCTGTTCTTTTTTCAGTCTATACTTTTTAGAATATTATCAAAAGTACAAAATTAAAATTATATGCAACCATTTTATTACAGAAACAGCTTAGTCTCTCTTTGTATAACAAACGACAGGGCACAAGTAGATAAAATATAAAGACCTTTTGAATTCAGAGTAGAGGTTCCCTTTTACTCATTCAAACAAATATGTCTTTAGGCACAGAGAGAAAAGTAATGGGAAACAGTAAACATATTACACAGGGTGGGAGTTGTAGTAATTGTGTGATGAAGTGGAGGAAAACTACAATGTGCACAGTCAGTAGGCTCAACCAGTCCCAGAATTCCTTCCTTTCCATCCCTTACTCTAGAAACTACAGCTTGGAATGGTGTTACAGGGCCACAATCAGCGGAGCAGTTTGAACTTGGGACTCCTGCATGTCCAGAGACGTCTCAATGCATTGTGCTGTGAGTGATGAGTTTCTGGAAGTGAGAAGAGTGGTGAACTAGATGCTGGCCTTTGTGCTTCTTAGGCATAATTGTGGACATTGGTGAGAATGAGGTTGTCCCTTTTACTTGATCTCACTAACCTTATTTAGATGACTGACACGCTCCGTGTTAAGATTTGGAGCAAAAAGTGTAGGTTGTTGGCTGACATAAGGTATCCAAATTAAATAACTTAGACTCAAATTATCCTGGTCATTTGGGGAGTCTTAAAAATATTAGTTTACTTGCCAATTAAAATGAATAGAAACTATTTTTATTTAATAGGATTATTATGAGGACTTAACCCAGTGACTGGCACATTCAGAGAAGTCAATAATTACATTGTGAAGTGTGACGGAAATGATGCTCATTTTAAGTGGTTGTTTCATTGTTTCTCTTTGAAGATATTCCTTTAGTACATGTGTTACTAGGGTTCAGTGAAAAAATAGAACAAATGAGGCAAGCATAATTGCAAAGCAAAAATAATGTCCTGATTTCCAAGCACTAGTTTTTTTATGTTATTCATAAAACATTGTTAAAAGTCTTACATTCCTAAACATGAGATCAACCCCCCCCCCCATCATAAAGAGCCATAAGTTCTTTACAGAAAACAAAACAAATGGTGGTTTATTATGCCTTGTATTTGTAATTGTCAGTTTTGAGCAAATATCGCAAGCTAAATTAACTTCACACTGAAGAAAAGGTGAATCTTAAAACAGCAGTAGGAGTCATTGTTTTTTACTGCAGCGTAGTACTCTAGTGTGTATATATTCCATACTTTCTTCATCCATTCCTCCAGTGAAGGGCATCTAGATTGTTTCCAGGTTTTGGCTATTACAAATAATACTGCTATGAACATAGTTGAACAAATGCTTTTGTCATATGATAGGGCATCTCTTGGGTATATTCCCAAGAGTGGTATTGCTGGGTCCAGGGGTAGGTTGATCCCGAATTTCCTGAGAAACCGAAACACTGATTTCCACAGTGGTTGCACAAGATTGCATTCCCACCAGCAATGGATGAGGGTACCCCTTCCTCCACAACCTCTCCAGCACAGGCTATCATTGGTGTTTTTGACTTTAGCCATTCTGACAGGTGTAAGATGATATCCCTATCCTATAGCAATACTGACGAATATCTTGCATATCACCATAGAACCTTCATCTGGTGATGGATGGAGATAGAGACAGAGACCCACACTGGAGCACTGGTCTGAGCTCCCAAGGTCCCAATGAGGAGCGGAAGGAGGGAGAACATGAGCAAGGAAGTCGGGACCACGAGGGGTGCACCCACCCACTGAGACAAGGGGGCTGATCTAGTGGGAGCTCACCAAGCCCAGCTGGACTGTGACTGAAAAAGGATGGGATAAAACCGGACTCTCTGAACATGGCGAACAATGAGGGCTGATGATAAGCCAAGGACAATGGCATGGGGTTTTGATCCTACTTCATGTTCTGGCTTGTGGGAGCCTAGCCAGTTTGGTTGTTCACCTTCCTAGACATGGACGGATGGGGCCGGACCTTGGACTTTCCACAGGGCAGGGAACCCTGACTGCTCTATGGACTGGAGAGGGAGGGGGAGAGGAGTGGGGGGAGGGGGAGAAGGGTGGGAGGGGGGGGAGAAAGGTGGGAGGAGGTGGAGGGAAATGGGAGGCTGGGAGGAGGTGGAAACTTTTTTTTCTCCTTTTCGCAAAATAAATAAATAAATAAATAAATAAAATAAAATAAAATAAAATAAAAAAGAACAGCCAAGAAAAGTCAGGCCTGGTAAGTACTTGGATGAAAGAAAATATTATGAGAAAATCATATCATCCACAATATGAATAAAAAGGAAAAGGACAGGAAAACACCAGAGAGAAGGAGGCTACGGAGAAAAGAATAGGGATTTGAATAAGAAAATTGAAAGTTGCAGACCAGATAGTGCAGGGAAAGTACCTATAATTGTTAAAGAGAATTTCTTTAAAAAGAAATCTCAGGTCCACACTGGAACCAATAGAAAGTTGCCCTGAGGGTAAGACTCCACCCATCAAATTGTGAAAATGCAAATGTTTTCAAAGTTAAGATCCTGGGGTGACAATGATTGCAAATAACTTCCCAGGAAAGTTTCACCCAAGGTCAACAGCTAAGGCACATTAAAGGACCCTAGGTCTGTGGCAAGTCAAAAAGAAGAGTGAAATTTTGCCCTTTGCTAGAAAATGTATGGAACTGAAGAAGAGAGAAGTCATGGGCCGTGTATGTGCTCAAAATACATGACAGATGAAAGAAAATGTCTTTATGAAGCTCATAACTATGTACAATGACTATACACTATAAAAGTAACAATAATATAAACAAAATAAGTGAGCCATTTTGAATAATATATAATGTAATCATTAAACTCCTATGTTTTCAAAGCACACATAAGAAAATGCACAATGAAGATTGCTATAGTAAAACAACCAGAAACAGAATTAGGACCTTGGGAGCTCAGACCAGTGCTCCAGTGTGGGTCTCTGTCTCTATCTCCATCCATCACCAGATGAAGGTTCTATGGTGATATGCAAGATATTCGTCAGTATTGCTATAGGATAGGGATATCATCTTACACCTGTCAGAATTTAACACAGTGTTTTATTCATAGTTTCTGAGACACTTTGAAATTTGATCTCTCATTTCATACTATTTAATTTTAAAGAAAGTCTCTGAGAATGATGTGTATTTAAGATCATTTAAATTATTTCTTTTAAAAATAAATTCAGAATGAAAAGCATTGAAATGGCCTCTGGAATATTTCCTATGAGAGGGTACAAAGTGGTCTACTACTTTGAAAACCTTTCTGTAAACTTTAGAGACTAAGATGGACCTATCTGCTAAAAGATGTTAACAATAAGTTTCAAGAGACTATCTG